ATTTGAAAAGTGAAACAAAGCTTGTAGTGAATAATTGCAAAATGCCAAAAGGAAATTAATAGCCCATCTGGGAAAATTTCTCCTTTGGGCTTGGGGGGGGGATAAACCTTCATAATAGTAAGATGAATTCACGGAAATTAATCAGCTAATTTTTAGCCAATTAACTTGCATATTCTTAATATCACACAGTGCACTAAATATTATGCTCAAAATGCTAAATGTGACTTATATATGCTTTAAGTCGTGTTTTATTTCAAAACTTAACTGGATATTGCTAATAGCATTACAGTTTGGCTACAAAAAATGCAATGTCACTAATGTGTTCTATGCAGAAGAAAAGCCATCAGAATATACACAAGCGACAAAAGTAATAGTACTAGTAATAACTGGAGGAAAAATAAATTTAGGAAAAAGGAAAAAAGAAAATAAAATTCAATGTGCTTCCTTTTTAATCTTCTTTTTTAACAAATTTCGTTTGGTTACTTTTCATAATTCAAATGCAGCTAAATATTAAATTTATGGACTAATATTTACCGGGTGGTTATAAAATACGTATCTCTATTTGAAGCTGTCTTTAGCTTGAAGGAGTAATCCATGAAACCGAAATCGGTACACTTACTAAACAAGAAAGGAGAAGAAGAATGCAGTAATTAAAAAAAGAATAGTGCAACAATTGGCGACAGCTGGTGCTTTTGTATTTATAATGTGTAATCCAATAACAAAGAATGAAAACGTAAAACCAGATGGCATACCTAATTTATTGAAAAATGTAACAGATAATGTGATTTCTGCATGGCAGTGCGGATCCGCATGGCAGTGCGGATCAAATTCAGGTTCCGCATAGCCATTGAACTGGAGAACACAATCCAGCCAGTGCATGACGTTCTCAGCTGGGGAATGTAATGAATCAGGAATGATATTTTGCATGTGTTGCGTTATGCAATATTTTAAGTCATTGAGGTTTGCGACACCTTCAGGGTACACATTAGATTTTAAGTACCGTGAAAGCCGAAAATCACGTGGTGTCAGATCAGGGGATCGAGGAGACCACCTCATACAGAAATACCGGCTATTACTCTATCACAGAGATGGGCAAACTACGGCCTGCCGGAAGGTTTTATCTGGCCCGTGTATAGAATTTTAATTTGCCGATCTGAGGCAAATTGAAAGGAAATATATATTATATATCCATCTCCTTTTCTACTTTGTTCCTTTTCTACTTTTTCTACTTTGTTTTCTTTTTTCCTTCCTCTTTTTCAAAGGCCTGGTGATCTTTTTACTTTCTCTATTTTTTTCCCTACAAAACATAAATCGATAGAAATAGGAAGCACAGACAGACTTCAATCAGTAAAGTGTTAAATACGGAAGTTGTGACAGACTGCATATTTTAAGCTCCAGCCAGCGGCTTTTTATTTATTGGGGTGCGAGTTCTAATATTATTGACTGCGTATAGAAATATTGTGCACATATAAGCATCATTGTGAATAGTGGTGAAATTATTAAAAGTATAGCATAGCTAGTGCTTGCTTGAGTTATTCGTAAAATATTTCAACCCTAAAATGGCTGTTAAAAAATTCAGATTGATTCAGAGTGCTGTGCTTTTAATGATGAATGGGCCTGAAAATATCTTATTTTTACAATTGTAAAAGATAAGCCAGTGTGTCTCATCTGCAATGAAGCTGTAGCAGTCTTCAAAGGATATAACATTTCCTGTCATTTCACATCTATGCATAAGATTTCCAATTATGAATATGAAAGAAACAAAATAGTCCGAATGTGAAAGAAAACAAAATGCAGAAAGTCTTTGTAAAAAAAAAATCAGGCCCACAAAATGTTTTCAAAAGGTAAACGGTATCCAAGAAGCAGCTACACATTAAAGTTACGTTCTAGCATACAGTATTGCTAAAAGTAATAAAGCTCTCGGTGATAAACAGTGCATGCTCCAAGTTTGTGATGTTTTGTGCCCAGACAAGAAAAATAATTTTGAGACTAAGTTTATCTCGAAAAATGGCGACTTCTAGAATCAGAGTCATCGGTATAAATTTGGCGTCACAATTAGAGTCAAATATTGGCTTGTTTAAATTTTACTCCAGAGCTAAGGATGAAAGTACCGATATAAATGATACTGCTCAATTAGTATTATTTATAAGAGGTGTTGATGAGAACTTTGAAACTACTGATGAACTGGCTTGCATGCCTTCTTTAACCCTCTCAGCATTACGACCAGAAAATTCCGTACAGAAGGTTGCCTTCCACATTCATTACACATGAAAATTTCTGCTAGCTTTTAATGTATCCAATTTTAGTTTGGATGTATATTGGAAGAAAAGGAATCAAGGTACAAAATGAAAGAGTAATTTTTTAATTAAAATCAAGAAAATATCACTTATTTGTGACATTTTGAGGAACTTTGAAATTTCAGGGCTAAACTCGTAACGCTCAGAGGGTTAAAGGGAACTACAACGAGATGTAATATTTTTCGGGAATTTCAGGAAAGGCTTTGAAAATGCCTATAACAAAAATATGTAATATTATAACCAATGGAGCACCCAATATGACAGGAACAAAACCCGGATTTCTTGGACTCTAGGAATCAACTCTTGGATTTTTTGGAATCAGAATTCGAAGGTTTTAAATGAAATTCTTTGAAAATTTTGTACATATTTAAAAATTTTATTATGTGCTAAAATGGAAATTAATAAAGATTTGTTAAAGTGTGAGTGTAATTTTATCAAGTACATCGGCTTGCTGTTTTGTCGTTGTCGGGCCTACTCATGAGACAAATTTGTTTTTTCAAAACTTTTTCTGAAAAGTCGAGAGATCAACTTATACACGTGTATACATTGTATGTGAAAATGGTGATGTTGGATATTGTTGAAGAAGTGCATGCATGTGATTGCCAGAGTTTTGCTCATTCTGAAAATTTGCCAATGTTTACTAAAGGGGTTGCAATAATACTTAAATACCATTTTCTGTCTGTAAAATTTGGTTCTGAGATTTCATTGAATAAGCATGAATTAGGTTCAGCATAAAAAGTTTTTATTATTTGTACAATGATGTCTATCTGTTTTTGTGATTTTTTTGTCCTCAATAACTCTTTAAATAAGGAAAACAGACATTTCTGTTTCCCTTATTTAAGCTTTCTGCATTCATATAAAGAGTTTGATTAAATTTTAGCCAAAATTGGACAAATAAAACTGGTACATAGCATGAAAGTTGGAGAAGGTGTCGCTAAACTTGCATGAGTAGTTCGGGCCAGCTGGTCTTTGGCATAAACAGATACAAATTATGGATATAGCATATAAAAAATTAATTATCACAGTTTTTCACATTGCATCACCATTGTTTATCCATTTTCAAATAAACTTGCATATCGTATCTTTTTCGATGCCAGGATTCTGTAACTTAGAAAAAATTTTGTATGCTGTCCCATGAAAGGCAGGCTTCAAGTATTAATTAATTTTTTTTTTTTGACTGTGGTCCAGAAAAACAGAACTATTTCCTTCTTTACGAAAATAAAACTAGCTTATCAAGCATTAATTGGGTTTACATTTATGCTCATCCATGTTTGACACCAAATCCCATTGTTTGGTAATAATGTATACATGCTAATAATATAACAAGCTTTGTAATGGTATTACAAAACTTTCATTTACTTAATTTTTTTTCTAAAAATTTGAAATATTTCAATTCTTGAGCTTAACAGTTGCCAGATAGTTGGACTTTCACTATATCAAATTTAACATCTAGTAAAAATTTTTAACTTTAATGTAATTGTGGAATTTGTAGAAGAACATTTCTATTAATACTGAATAAATCTCTTAAACTTTTAATACTTTGGAATTATATATTTCTTTAGAATTTTCAAAACCCTAAAGGTTCTTATAATGCAGTATGAATTAACTGCATGTTTCTTTTAATGCAGTATGAATTATATTTGGTACTCTTCTGTCATTAGAATCGGATTCAGATATGTAAATATGTTTGCATGCATGCATGTATATATACACATACATATGCATACACAAACATATACATCTATACAAACATGCATGTATACATACCACGTTGGTTAGAATTGACTTTAGGGTACCCCTTGTATTATCGTGAAGTTGTTTCATTTATCGCCAAGTTGTTGTTTCGTTTATTGCCGAATTGTTTAATTTATGGTGACCTGAGTAGTTGAATGCTATGGAAACCCTATTATGACATAATCGTTTGCATTATTCCGGGAAATTTTGAATCATGCAATGTTTTGCAAGGGCTTTTGTGGTGTGTGTTGCTTAGGAAGTACATTGCTAATTTCATTGTTTAGGCTGTAGAATGGCTTAATGTAGTAAGATTAATTTGAAGTTTCTGTACGATTTGGAATGAAAGGGAAAAAGAGCATTAATTGATTGGTGTGTAAATGAAGGTTTACTTAGTAGCCATTTTCGGGACACTCTGGAATACGTAGGATATTTTTTACTCTCATTTTTGTGGATTTATGTGTGATGCTGATATATGGATTCTAGTTCAGATAATTCTAGGAAGTTTTTGGATGCTGTTAAGGAATTTTGTCGAGGTAAGTGGATATTTGCTTTGTGTAATGCTTAAATGCATAATCCTTTTTTATGTTATTTTATTGTTTGGTTTAAAATGTAGTTTATTGAGGTTATGTATTTTTTTGTTTGCCTCTACTGTAGAATTGGGTGCTCCTTTGACTTTTTAAGTGCAAATATATTGCTGTGTACATGGTCAAACTCAAGGGAGTGCGCAGAGAGTACGAAATGTGAGAATCTGGGAAAGAAACTACCTGTAGCTGATGTTATTTTTCAAGACAGCATTTTGCGCCTCCCCAATTCGTGATCTTTCAATTGCTGTTGCTCACTTTAAAGATGTTTTATTATTGTTGATATAGGAATAAAAAAAAACTTTAAAAAAATAACTGCACTATTATTGGTTTAAGCTTTTGCTAACCTAAAATATATAGCCCTTAAATATTTTCATTTTTTTAAAAGATAGATGGAAATATAATGAAGAAAAAAAGATTTCCTGAGACATTGGAAGTAACATCTGCTGAAAAACGGCTATGTGCATTAAAGGTAATGTTAAATTTTTTTTATCCATATTTATTTTTGAACTTTATGTGCGAAACTGAGGAATTAAAAAACTAATTTTATTTGAAAATAATCATAGCAAAGCCTAAATTTTAAAAAAGAAACTAATATTTTATGTTAAGAACTGAAAATTTATGTATTTAAAAATTTTAAAGCTTTTAATTATTTTTTGTTAGTTTGAAAAACTTATACTGCTATTTATATAAAACTAAACATAGTCCAGGTATTTTTTTTTTAATTGCAGGATTATAAATTAGTGGGTTCTTTTCCATTTCGTCAGCGCAAATCACGCCACGCAGACTGTATTGGTGACAACATACAGTATATACATAAAAAATGTTAACGAATGTTAGTTCTAAGAATTTATTTTGAAGGCATAAACATTTTAATATCGTTTAAAATTTTGTAAAAAACCAATAAATAAAGACAATAAATTTGTAAAAAGACATAAATTTAAAATTTACTATGCTTTCATGGTTTAGCATCCTGATTCGACGGTTCATATCACGTGACCCCGAGTAATCTCATCTCGCGTAAACTATGCTACAAAATCTAATTCTCTCAGTAATTATCTACATTAATTTCAAGTTAAATCTTAATTTGGAATACAAATTTAAATTCAAGAATTATTTCAGCTCATATGAATAGCTTACTCAGAAATTATGTAAAACTGCAATACTTTTTGCTAGTGCATTCTCATTAGAATTGATGAATTTAACCCTTGACTTTGCCTTTTCTATATTTTCGCCTTCGGGTGAGCAGTGTGATTGCATCCTAATTGACTTAATTACAGCGAATGGCCATAGGGCACAAAATTGAGCTATCTAGTAAAAATGCTATGTAATTGTATGCCAGTTTTGTAAGAAACAATCAATCTGATAAGAAATGGCTGCTACTTGTTTTGAAAATGAGGCATAAAAGGTTACCAGTGAGAATATTTGTACCATCATTTGTACATTATTGGCGACTTTATCGCTTGCACTGGCAAAACAGAAAAGTTCCAATTAGTGTAATATAGAATTCTCTGAAGTAGTGTTAATATATCATGATGATTTTAATGAATCATCAATGTTTATTAAATTTTGTTCAAGTAAGGAGTTAACCTTCAATTCAGGAGTTAACTTTTCTTGAGAATGAACATGACAGTCATTAATAATTCTAATAATTCTACCTTCTGCTTCTTTCTTTATATGTATTTTCTTTTATCCCATCATGGTGATGGATTCCTCAAGATAGTATTAGCACTATCTCTCTCTGGCATATGTTCTAGAAAATTGTATTGATATCACTGCCTATGTATTTGCCAAATATGGATATCTGTGTCCTTGGAAAAAAGAGTTTCAATAGTTGAATGAAGAAATATTGTTCCCAATACGTAGCTCTGATCTCTGCTTGAAATACATATGAAGCACATAACACCCTTTCATGTTATTTAGCTGTCATGTGTAATTCTCAATAGCTTTAATAATGGAGAGAGTTTCCTTTACTTAGGAAAACTGATCTGCTGGCCTTGTGAACATGTCAGTTGAGTTGGTCTGGAATAAGGAAATAGTAATTACAAAATTTGTATAATTTCTGGTCACTTTAAAACTGTAGTGTATGTAAAATTAAGCCTGTTTTTATACTGAAGGAAATATTTTATGCCATAAACTTCAAAAAATGCTTTCTTGAGGAACATGGGCAGATTTGGCATTGTAATTTTTTATAACTATTTTAATTGGATGTTGATTTGTTTTCTAAGAATTATAATTGGTAAGTACTTACATTGAAAGTTCTGCAGAAGAGTGCAAAATAATTTGCTTCTTACAGAAGAGGAATGAGTCTTAGTTTCTTTTGAAATCTAAAGAACTTAATTAAAAAACTGAGAGGGATGTGTCTCAGTTTCTTTTGAAATGTAGAAAACTTTATACTGTAAAACTGTTGCTAATATAAGGTTGAATTCTTCTAATTTTAGATTATAAGTTGGCATGTTTCTTTTACATCTGTTAGATAAGCATTATGTTTTTGGTCTTATCTGCCATGTAATTTGTTAAATTATATGTATTGTTAAGTTTTTAAAAACTGTTACTATAAGGCCTATTGGACTCTGTCCAATAATGCTATTTCAAGTTTTAACACACATGCAGGTGTTTATTTGAGACACATGTGGCTGTCTCTATCACTGCATTTATTATCATCTACTCTTCTAAATTAATTGAAACAACAGTGTCTCATGCCATTATTAAGCGAAACACAATCGCATAGACATGGTTATCCATAAAGTTCATTTACAACACTGTATTTTGTATGAATTCCAAGAAGGAAGAAATGCTACAGAAGTGTGTCAAAATTTAGTGACAGTTTTTGCTCATGATGCAGTTTCAGATAAAACGTGGAGGAGATGGTTAAAAAAATATAAAGCAGGGGATTTCAACCTTAACCTTTTACACGCCAAACTATGATGCGAAAGTAAAATAAACATTTTGTTGTGAAAAATCGATTTAAAACTCAAATATAAAAATTATGAAAAAAGAAAAAATTAAAAAGAATTTTTTTTAATGATTTATAACATGTTCCATAAACGGAACATTGGCGGGAAACAGTTTTTTTACATGATTTTTTTAAAACATGATTATCGACATGCTACAGAAGTGTGTCAAAATTTAGTGACAGTTTTTGCTCGTGATGCAGTTTCAGATAAAGTGTGGAGGAGATGGTTAAAAAATATTAAGTAGGGGATTTCAACCTGAATGATAAGCCACACTCTGGTTGGCCATCTCTGATTGATGGTGATATTGTCAATACCATGGTAGAGCAAGATCCTTTTTTTGACAAGTATTTGTGAAATCAGTATTTGTGAAAAAGTTTAATTCAGCTGAAACCATTTCAGACCTTCTTTGGGAACTAGGATATGTCTGTAAATATTGAAAGGGGTGCCTCATGAGTTAAGTGAGAAAAATTTTCGTGATCAAATTGTCATATGCACATTTCAGCTTGCTCGGGGGAAAAAAAAAAAAAACACTGACTGTTTTTAGACCCGATGATAACATGGAATAATAAGTGGATTACTTTCAAAAACATCATTATGAAAGTATCATACTGTAAGCTCAGACTAACTGCTCCTTCCAACTGTAACTGAGTCTGAATAAGAGAATGCTGTATGTATGGTGGCACCTCCAAGAACCAATTCATTATGAGCTACTGAAACCTAAAGGAAAGCTCATTTCAGAGAGGTACTGTCAGAAAGTGGATGATTTGAACAAAAGTGAAAAGAAAGAAAAGAGTGAAAGAAAAGAGGATGGCGATGTTCTCTAGGAACACACTGCATCACGATAATACCAGACCACTTGCTGCTTTGGTGACTAATCAGAAAATTGCAGAGCTAGGCTGGGAAATCCTGCCACATCCGCTGTACTCTGCAGACCTAGTACCCTCCGATTGCTACTTGTTTCTATCCTTGCAAAATCTTCTGAAGGGAAGAGAATTCAAAACTGGAGCAGATGTCAACCAAGCACTATTTGAATTTTTCACCTCCAAGACAAGACATTTTTCAAAAATGGTATTTACAGATTATCATTATGCTGGCAAGATGTTGTAAGTAGTGACAGAAATTATGTTATACAATGCTATTAAAAGTATGAAAAATGAATTATTATCTTTTGCTTTGCAAGTGGACAGAATTTTATGGTAGACCTTATATAAAATGTGAAACATTAAACATTTAATTAAACATTAAAAAATTTTTTTACAAAATACAATATTTTTCTGTAATTTTTTGCAGGCTGCTGAGCTTGGTATAATTGAATCTGTTTCTTTGCAAAATTTTATGTGTCATGACAACTTAAAATTTGAATTTGGACCGCATGTAAATTTCATCATTGGGGCAAACGGAAGTAAGTTAAAATTTAATATTTATCTTTTTGCAGTTGTCTAGATAGAAGTCGAAAATAATTTGAAGGTTAAAAAAATTTGAAGTGTTACAAAAGAACACACCAAATAAATTAGATGTTAAAACTTAGTCCATCAGTTGTTGAGCAGAGAATACTGGTATTCAATCTGGGTTTAAAATTTGGTTAATAGGTTGCATGGGTATTTTCACAGTTTTCCTCATGTATAGCGGGAATGTAAGCCAGTTTCCTTTAGAAATTTCTTTATGAACGAATTTTTACCTATACAAAAATATTCTTTCTATGCTTTGCTGTAATCGAATTATCTGATCCATTGATAAAATAAACAAAAGCTGTGATCAGAAATTGCTGTAAATTAAACTAAAGTATGCAGTTATATATTTTCAAATTGTAACCCCTTTATGACCCATGCTGCTGAACTAAAAACCTTCTGAAGATGGATGTGTCATATATGCATCAATCCCAAAATGTCACAGCTGAGTGATACACTAGTGCGTCGCTGCTTACATTGATCTATCTACCAGACAGGTGTGTCATATATGCACTTTCAAACATATGCAGACGTTTAGAATTTTTTAAAATCTCTAGATGGTGCTTCGCATGCACTGCATTTAGCTTATTTGAATATATACGTTGTTGACCTTGGGTCTGTGAACTACTTTCTGATCCTGGTGATTCATTTAAATGTATGAGGGAGATATAAAGTAAACAAAACTCACCTGATGTGCAGTTGAGGCTTCACATGATATAAACATTGGACAGTTTTAATGCTTCAAATTTTTCTTTTTTTTTTTTTTAAAAAAAAGTATATATATGTATTTTTGGGAAGATGGGAGTGGAGTTGTGGTTTTAGGAACAACAATTCATATTCAGTTTGCATCTTCTTTAGATAGTAGATGTAAGGTTTTTGCACCGGTTAAGAGAATTAAATAAATAGTGCACTGTCTAGAAGAAGATTTAATAAAAGAAAAGTATATTTAAATGGTAAACAAGTCCATGAATGACTATTTTGACATTGAAGACTCTCTAGCTGTAAATGAGGATAGCGATTTAGATCCTGAAATTTTGTCAGAGACTGAATTGGAAGCTTATTTTGCACACCACAACAGTGGATACTCCATCATGAACTTGATCTGTTAAGTAGAAGTCTTATGAAATTATGGAAGTAAATTATGAAATTATGGGAGGAGTAAATTATGCGAATGGAAATTCATTTTTTGAGGATTTAGTGAACATAATTGTTGAGGAAACTAATAATTTCTGTGAACAAAAGATGAGTGAAAATCTATCTTCATCCAAAATCAACATATTCCTGTAGATGTGCCTAAAATGAGGGATTCCTAAGATTAAATATTCTATTGGAAATGATTAAAATGCCTGACCTCAAAATGTATTTCACAACTAATGAAATGTTAGTGACTAGACTATCATACATTATCTCCTTTCTGAATCATTTATGCTATAATATTTAATCATATATTTTATTATTTTTTACATATGTTTAGATATAGATTTATATAAGTTTTGTACAACGTTTCATCCAGATGGGTCAGATATTTTATTTTGCATTTAGATTTTAATTAAAATTTTTTAAGAATGTCTTGATATTCTGTATTTATGATTATATTACTGTTGATACAATTACAGAAAAAATCAAAAGAATTGGTAAACATTTTTTTAATGAATTTTTTTTTTTTTTAAGTTAGGCTTAGTGACGTAAAATACTGCATCCTGTGAGATCATATTACTACAACATCATACCATCTCTAAGGTGAGTAATGCTAAGTGGCATGCTGTCGCATAAGAGAATTAAGTACTGTTGCATATATGATATGCCCGCTGTGAAGGATTTGGTTAAAACATTCTTCTTCATTGAAGATGTGATGAGATGGAAGCTCATTGTAAGAATATAAAAACCTCAAAAGATTTCGTGAAATCATTTGAAATAAAACTGCTAATGCTATATATCTATGGAAAAGTGAAAAACAACTAACAACTAAAAATTAAGTCCTTTAAGATGAAAAGTAGAAATAGATTAGAATTTGAATTATTAACTGAAACTAAAATTTTTGTTTCATATATTTGAGGGACTTACCAGAAAATAATTTATGTCCGGAAAGTCATATGATGAGCTGTTGTGATGAGAATTTGGTATAGATCAGGCATGGCTGAAGTATTTCTCACGAGCCATATGAGGCTTCATGGCCCCGTAACTGTGCTTGAAAGTCAAATGCAGCACTTACAATAAACACTAAATTATATTTTGAAACAGAAGTAGTGCAATGGCAAGCTTTATGTTATGTAATTTATTGTGGAGTCATTAGGATTTTTAGTCATTAGGAAACATGAAAAATGAGCAAAATCCTCACTGGGACCTCTCAAATATGTGCCGAGTGTGCTTACCGTTACGAAACGAAGGCATGCAAAAAGGAAGGAGAAAATACCTTATAAACTCCATCTTTTAAAGGGCGACTGGCAGTTAGGGGACTCGATCACCAAATCCTGATGGTGAAGAATTATCAACCACCACCTTTTTAGTTTGGGTGTCACTGTAGAGTCATTAAAATTTTTTGGAGCAGAAAACCTGAAAAATGCCCTTGCCGGGACTTGAACCTGGAACACTCGAATACGTGCCGAGTGTGCTACCGTTACACTATGAAGGCATACTGAAAGGAGGGAGAAAATACCTTATAGCAGCGTTTCTCAACCTTTTAACTAATGTGTACCATATAAACAAAAATTGAAAATCTTTAGTACCACCATTACAAAGTACTACTACCACCACCATTCTTGATCAAAGTTCAGATCACATAAATTCACGAGTATTAGAGAAAAAACTCAATCAGGATATTTGTGTTTTTAATTTTTGAATTTAATAGTTAAAAATACTTTGCTGCTTTGTATATAATAAATAAAGTAAAATTATTGTACCACTTATTTTTCTCTTGCGTACCACTGGTTGAGAACTCCTGCCTTATAGTATGGCAAAAAATAGAAAATGTATAATTCTTTGGAAATGTTGGTTGAGGAAGCATCATGATTTGACTGAGCTAGTCTACTACCATTACAAAGTACCACTACCACCACCACTCTTGAACAAAGTTCAGATCGCATAAATTTACAAGTGGTAGAGAAAAAACTCATACACTCACAATATCCACAACATCCAATCAGGATGTTGTGGGTTTAATTTTTGAATTTAATAGTTAAAAATACTTTGCTTCTTTGTGTACCATCTATTTTTCTCTTGCATACCACCAGTTGAGATGCCCTCTCTTATAGTATGGCAAAAAATAGAAAATGTATAATCCTTTGGAAATGTTGGCTAGAGAAACATCAAAGAAACATTCTATGGTGATTTGACTGAGCTGGCTTCCAACGCTTGAGTGACGTGGATATTCTTTTAAATATCATAAGAACAGAAGAGGCAAAGAAGGATACTGAAAATACAAGTGAAGGTACTGACAGCTACATTAGTCCCAAGACAGCAATGACTTCTGTTGAAACTCTCTTGCACTGTGTCGACCAAAGAGAATTTGAGTATAGTGATAAAATAGCACTTCAAAAAATGTGCAATAAAATTTGACAAATATTTAAACGTTCTAGAAAATAAAGTAAAATTATTGCTTTTTTTAAAAGAAATAAACATATGCAATATGCATAAAAATTGACAGTTTGAATTATCCTTATTTTTCAGTTATCTGTGACTTGATTTCCTGACATCAGCTCAGATAATCAAGAGTACATCATACATCTTTATTTATTTAAAAAAATAAGTACATTATTGAACTCTTGAGTTTCAAAATTCATTTTCTTACATATTTAGGAAAACATATGCAGTATAATGCCGAAATCCAGACATCCAGTATCTATAATGATATAAAATATTCACCTCCAGACCCTCAGCAAACTTCAAAAAAAAAAAAAAAAAAAAAAAAAAAAAAAATTTGATTTATGCTTGCACGTTTGATATACTTTTATAATATAGTATGGAAAGTCTTGATACTTAATTTCATTTCGGTACTAAATAAAATACCTTCATATTGAATAAGCAAGCATTGGTATTGCTGTAACTGGCGATCTACCGAATTTTGCTACGTAGTTATTTGCCTTTGTAACAGATAGTGCTACCTCTTTTCCCTCTTCATATCATCACACAATTTAGTATGCTCTCAGCCAATGAGATGACCAATTAAAAATCAGAACTATCTTTCAAATTTGCGTGATCAGATTTATTATTATTTAATATTGATAATTTTTTTTGCTTTCCAAATATTTATTTCTTTTGCTGTGTTTTATGGTATGTTTAAGAAAGCTTCCAGTGTACGAATAAAAGGGGGAAATATTTCTTTTATTAAATTAACTGGTCTAAGTATTTCAATGAATTATGTGATATTAATATAACTGAAAGTGAGCCCCTAAATGTTATAAATATAAATTATATCAAGAATTTCGTGTCTATAGTGAAGGAAACAGGTAAGAAGTAGGACAAAATACACCCGATTTTGTACTGCTATATTTAGTTGTTTCAGAACCTGTGTACAAACAGTTTGTTATAAGCAGAGTGTTGAAAGAAGAGAGATAAATTAAACACTTTTGCTATGTAACATAACAGGTATTTCAACTCTTTGTAATGGAAACGTGAAATTTATTTGAGAGTAAATTGATATCAAAGATTCAAAAATAGCATTTTAAAAGCTCTTCACAAATTCAATGGAAAAATTGCATATGAAAGAAAGGATAAGAATAAACATTGCTTTTACAAAGAAAATATTTTCTGAAAAAAAGATGGCATCATCCATTATAAAACTAGTTAACTAACTAATGAAATTTGGTAGATCACCAGTTGGGACAATACCCAATCATTTATTAACATGAATCTGCATGATCAATAATTCAGTTCCATAACAGCACTTTTACTTGGCATACATCTCAAACCAAAACATTTTGCATTGAAACATCATTGATTTTCCACCTGCTGAATAATTTATATTCCTGACTCTAACATGGCAAATCATTATTTCTTATTTTGGCAGACAAGAAATACTAATGCTATGAATTAGATGATGTATGTAAGATAAACAAATATTTTAATGTGTATTTTCCACTTTTTGGCAGTTTTGATCACTGTGTTTCCACTGAAGAAATTTGTACAGGCTTTGATTAACTAGTATATAAGCTTATCTTAAAATATTTATAAATATGCAGTACAAAACTAGAATTTCTGCTAAAATGATTAGACAAAGAGAGCAGTACTAAAACAGAATTTGAGTAAGATGGTTAGCCTCACTAGGAGTTATCAGTATATCAAGAAACTCTTTATCATTTTTTCGTTTAGATCTTCAGTGAAATAATACATTTGTCTGATTATTTCCTTTAATTATTTGTATAAAGTTATTATATGAAATAGATATGTTTAGAAAACCTTTTTGAATTAAGCTTTTTTGGTAATGTTGTAAGTTATACAACATTAACAAAAATGTATGTGCATACACATTATTTATATTTCAGAAGAGCACTGTTGCAGTATGTTAATATAACTCATTTTCTGATTTGATAATAACATTTTTTTTAAAGGTGGGAAAAGTGCTGTCTTGACTGGTATTATATTAGCATTGGGAGGAAGGTCAAGTTTGACTGGAAGATATGGAAGCGTTAAAGGTTTTATTAAAAATGGAAAGAGGTAATTTTTTTGTTTTTATTTTGACAATTTACTCAAGTATTTTTATAATCAATTTAATATAATCTTCCTAGTTATTTTCATTTTAATAAAATATTTCTTAATTATGTACATTTTTGCTATATCTCTCTTGTGGTTTTGAGCTTTCCAAACATAAGAAACTGCTGCATATTTATATTACACCAAATAATGTAGATTCTAGCTCTGAGTGCTGACAGATAAAGTCATTCATCAGCTACACAGCTGTAGGTGAGCATCTCAGGACAAACTGCTATATTGACTGGTTGCCTAGTTCTCTCTCTAAATTAGAGATTGTTTCACTATTTGAACTCATGGTTGACAAAAGACGTAGAATATGCTGAAAAGACTTAACAAATGAATAATGCATTAGCTAAAATAAATTTTATAAGGACATTATATGAATATCCAACACTGAGATTTCTTTGTGGCTAAGCAAATAAGTCAATTAAGAAATCTTTATCAAATAATGGGATATAGTGTAGATGAAAATGATGATGTGCTTTTGAAAATTTTTAACATAGTACTTTCTAATTATCTTTCAGTCTTGAAAAGAATTTACCGGGAAAAGAATGTTACCTAAATAGGCAACCCAAAACATCTGCAAAGTATATTTATATGGAAACCTAGATGTGCTTGCACATTTAACGGATGAGCAGCATTTTTTCATGTTCTTCCCATCAACAACGTAATCTGTTTCTGCTTTAAAAGAGTACCAGGGAATTGTGAAATTTGGGAACGGTGCACAGCTTTTGAGCACAGATCATTTACAAAATGCAGCTTCACGGAAGGTGAATTTTTCCACTATTGGACAAAACACAATATTTCTGAAGAAGTGCAATTTTTTTTAATCAGATGCCAGATTCCGTAGTTCTACTACAGTTGTAATACAAGGAATCTAAATGGGAGGGGGAAAGCATTAATGACCACTGAACTTAAAGATGGAAATACTTTTCAATGGACTGCAGATAATCAGAAAGTATCCAAATTGAAAAGTCATATTCAGATACTAAAAAGTGGAAGAAAAAATTAAATTCTTTCAAAACAGTGTAAAAAATTGCTGTAAAAATATATATATATGTAAGGGAAACATAAAATAAAATTAATAATTTTGTCACAAAAATTGAAAACAAAATTAAAATTAATCGTAAATTAAAAAAGCAGAGGGCGGGGACAAAATTTGATTAAAAAAAATAGTGCAAATAACTATCCTGTTAATTTCTAAAACCATCTGCCGAACTTTTTAGGAAGTGTCAATGTTCTCATTGAAAATTAACTTTATTGAATTTGTTACTTCATATGAAAGTTCACTATATTCTCATAAGTTTGTACTATTAAGAATATAAATAATTTATTCTAAAATTATTTCAATATACATTTTGAATTTCTTTTGTGCAGATTCTCTCATTAGATCTTGATCTTTTCTGTCTGCATATAAAGGCAACTTTTTGTATCAATGTAAACAATATCTGAAACATAACATAATTGTGTAGCATGTAACACCAACATACTTCTTAAATTGGCTCTTCTATGTGCAGAAGTTGGTCACCTCGTTTATTTAAATTATGCTGTTATCTGGGGTATCAAATAAGAGAAAAAATTTCCTAGTAATGTATAATGAAAAATAATAGTAAAAAAAGTTTTCAATACTTTCTGTTTATCCGCATTCCGCTGAAAAGTATTCATGAGGCAACATGCTGTGTTGCCAAAATAGACAATGCATGATGTTGCTAAAGCATAATTATATGGCAAACCAGATATGCATGTGCATGTAGCAGATGAGTTCTGTTTTCTGGCTTGAATTTCACAGTCGTTAGTGTTTGTTGCATTGAGTGCATTTCTTTCTTGAGTTGTTATGGAACTTTGGAGTTTGCGTGCTGAAAAAGAAAGCATCTTCAGAAATGGTTTTTATTTGGTCTAACAATAGAGAATGCAGAATTTTGCATTGCATAAAGTTGTACTTTGTAAATACATTTTATCAAAATTTGTATTTTTTTTTAAGCAAAACCATCACTGTGTACATGGGAAGAGTCACAGTGTGCACAGTGCCAAGTTGCACATGATGCTATTTTGCAATTTTCTAGTTTTTACCTTTAGTTTGTAAAGTAAAGGAAGTATTGTAGTCGCGAAAAATTTCAGGTATCATATTGCAATGAAAATATCCATTTTGATCTCTCTCGAATCCATTTGAATGATGTTTTTGCATGATACAGACAGAATAAAAGACTCTTTTTCCAAAATGGATTGTAAAATGGAATCAAAAGATTTTTTTTGTGACATCTGTGCATACATATGCCTGTATCTCACATAACTCAAAAACAAATAGCTGTAGAATGATGAAGTTTTGTATGTGGGTCCCTGCTGTAACATGTAATTGTACACCTCCCTTTTTGGTTGTAATTGGCTGCACCAAACTAGTATAAATATATATATATATATATATATGCATGCTCCCATTCTGTTACTTAGCTCAGTGAGTTCATTTTTTTAAAAAAATTTTTTATTATTATTTGTCGGTAAATTGTGCATTTTTTGCTTTAAGTGTGAAAAATGAGTTACGTTGATTTAGTTGTTTATTAGTGATTGAATTATGTTGTATATATTATGGTGAAGATTTTCATGTCTTTAGTTAATCTACAGACAGTAGTTGTAGAATTATCAAAATTTATAAGTTGTTTAAGTGATAACAAAGCTGCAGTTTGTTAACATTTGAAATTCTTTGTAGAATAATGAATTAAAGTCAGTTTGTGTATAAACTTCAGTGTTTTTTTGCTGAGTGGGATCAAAAGTCAACTTTTAGTTTTGGGCACCAAAAATTTTGCATTCTTCGCATTGACCGAATTGCTTGTTTTGGTATACAAACTCTAATTTTAATTGTAAAATTTTTTAAACTGATTTTATGTTTTTTTATTATTTATTTTTTATTATTATAACTGTAGTATTTTATGTTTTTCTGTATATTACGTTTTTAATGAAGCTATTTCGAGTTTTTATGTATATGCTTTGTCTCGAAGTGAGCGCTGAATTGATTGCATGAGAAATATATCTCTAGTGAAATTCAAAGAAATAAGTTTAAACGAAATGCAGCAAATGTTTATAATTTAATTGACCATACAAAAAAAGTCATGGTGTGCACATCATATATTTTTCAAGTTAAAATGGATCTCTGGGTGTTGATGTAGTATGCAGACTTAGTTATTTCTAAGGGGATACTGTTACAAAGCTTTTCTTTTCCCCCAAATATGAAAATAAAAAAAATAATTAAGAGTATATAAATGAAAATTATCCCTTGAATTTAATAACTTTTTAAAATTTTAATTCCATTAAATTTTAATTACTTCCAAATTTACAAAACAAAGGCAGGAATAGCTGTTTTTATGAGCTTTTTCAACCATATACACAACAAATGGGCAGGATGGCAAAAAATAATCATCACTTTTATTAACGGATTTCTGGCCTTGCTTTCGTGAGATAACATGGAAGTATTTGTGTTATGGTACACCACATGTTGTGTACTGTCTTTAGCTTGAACTATGATTTAGTTATTTGAGCATTAGTTCCATCTGAAGGATTGGCAAAGTTTGTTTGGTGGTTTATAGTTTAATGATTATAGGATATCGAAAAAGTGATATATCTTATACTACATCAAACCCAGTTACTGTTTACATTGGGGAAATAGCTTAAAAAAGTAAGCTTTTTCTTTGGATGTTTCTTGCATTTTTTAATCTTGTTAATTGGTTGCTTATTTTATGTAATTCCTTGTGTGCCATTTTTATAATATTGCTGTTGTGTTTCATATCTTAATGGTGAAAAATTAGTTGCTAATAGTTACCAAATTTTTTTGCGGGTATTGCAGGTAATCAGAAAGTACCAAAATCTCATTTATATTTAAAGAAATTAAAATATGCACAAAGAAGGAATTCAGATTTTTAGAATTGTAATAAAAAGGTCTAAGAAATATTTGTAATTTATGTGAAATATTTTCTTATTTAAAAAAAAAACTTTGAATACTTTTATTGTAATGTTATGTGATAAAAACGCTAATTTAATTTTTATTTTTGTGAGAAGCTAAATTGATTCTAAACTTTTATTATTTTTTTTAAGATGTGCTATTTTATATTGCTTCAAATTTAAAATGTGGTGCATTAAACTGTAACTTACCTTAAAAATTTGCAGCTTCTTAGAATGAATTCAAATAAGAAATAAAATAATGTGCTACTGTTAATACTTACATATATAAAGTGACTAACTGTTATAAATTTGTAATGATTTCATGTAAATAGGCATTTTTTCTTTCTTTTTTCAGAAGTGCAGTAGTAACTGTGACTTTGAAAAATTGTGGTATTTCAGCCTACAAGCCAGATGAATATGGTGACAAAATTACAGTTGAAAGAAGCTTCAGTACTGAAGGCAACAGTCTTTATAAAATACGATCAGCAGAAGGTTAATTTTGCATCTTACATTTTTCATTTTCTATTTGATGGAATTTAATATTTAAAGAATTGAACCAAATAAATATCTGACATTTTCCTTAAAGTGTAACTGAAATGATAATGAATTGGGAAGATTTATTTGAATTTATTGATTATTTATTTATTTACATAATTTGTACCAAAATTAGGTTTTGTTTATAATTTCAATTAAATTATAATTAAAACAATTAAATAAAAAGTTTGGTGTTAAGAAATAGTTCTGAATGTATGAAAAACTGGGCAATTATTATTTCATGATATTGAGTAAAATTCTGTTAGAATAATATCAAAATTAAGCGTAAAATTGTTCATATAGAAATTTAAATATAATGTGCATGGGCTGTTTTTATAAATAAATGTTAACTTGTTAATAAACTGCTGAAATAAAAAAGAGTGTTTAGATATAAGAAGCTTACATTAAGGAATAATTTTAATTCTGATTTTGCGAATTACAGGAGTCATTTAAGTTGATGTATACAGCACATGCAGTATTTAAGGAATACTCTGTGTACTATAAAAATTTTACAAATTGCTCTGGCCATATGATTAAAAACTTTAATCTTGTTATGAACTTCATATGGTGTATAAAATAGCCTGGCTCTGCTAGAAATGAACAATGCCTTCTTAAGTCCTCTGAATTTTATTAGCTTAAGTAATGTTATTTTCTCAAGAAACAACCATTAGATATGGCATTTGACCAGAAACAAACTTGACAATTTGTGTTATATTCTATTCAGTTTAATATCACTAGATCTCTCACCTGCAGATTATCTTTTTCAGTATATATTGGAAGACCAGATTCATGTAAATAGTATAAATAGTATTCATAATTTAAATTCCTCGAAACCACTTATCATTTGATGTTAGAGAAAGGAAGCTCTCTATGTTAAGAATCCACTTGTCAGATGTGTCATTGCATGAATGTTTTGCTACCCAGAAGTCATTTTTCATCACTTTCTTTATATCAACATTATTTCCATGAGAGATGTTAAAAATTATGAATAAATGACATTAATTTACAATTAAAATTAATTCATTATCACCATTCTTTTCACGTCAATTTGGTGCATAGGGCCTTCAGTCTGGTCTTTCATTTTGTTTTGTTAAGATTAAAATTAATTGCCTACAATACATGATGTTAAGCTCCCCACTTGGTACTTATTATTTCCATTAACTCTCTTCTAAGTAGTTTATTGTCTGGTCTCTTTCTTCCAAGGCCCAAATCACTGCTAGTCAGAAATTTTTTATGTTTGGAATTTGTAATATGTGTCTTATAAAAGTGTTATCTGTATTTAATTTTTATACCTGTAAACTTGTTATCTATATTTAATTTCTCCATATTCTTTCCTTATCTGTATTATGTATTTGATTTTCTCAGAACTGGAGCCCCCCTTCCATTGTTGGCTGTACTGAAATTAAAGGCTTAAAAATAACATTGCATTATTTGTAATATTGTGCAGTGCGTAATATCAGAAGTAATTTATTTTAGAATTTAAGTGTACTGTAAATCAGAAATCAGAAGCTGTGTTCTATTAGAAATTTGCTGTTAAATTATTGGTTTTTATTGAAAATATTGTAACTGAAATTTTTATCTAATTTTAGGTAGAGTAATCTCAACTTCTAAAGAAGAGTTGAATAACATTTTGACTATGCTGGATATTCATGTAAGAATTTAGTTATTCTCTGTTTTTCGAATGCAGTCTAATCTCTCTTAATGAACATCTCACTTTAACAATCACTTTCCTTTAATGAACAGTTCTTAAAACTCTGGACTCACAGAGAAGAAAAATAATGCATTTCCATTATTGGATATTCCCTGATTATGACTAAAAAAAGCCTTAGTTCATGAGTCTGCTAATAAGAGATTTGATTGTATTATGCAAAACTTTTGTTGAAACTTACTTTTTTTTTTTTTTTTTTTTTTTTTGTGTGTGTGTGTGTGTGTGTGTGTGTGTGTACAGAATTTACTGTTTATTAAAATCACATTTTTATTTTCCAAACATGTATGAATTTAATAGATGGTGATATGAGTATTGCAAATTGTGATATCAATTTTAAACTTATCTAGTAAGATAGTAACTAACAATTTATCTAACAATTAATACAAAAATAATAATAAATTAATGTTAAAACTGAGCTGTTTATGCAGCTTTGAAAAATTAATTTTTAAAAATTATGTACCTGGTGCAATGTACATTTTTATAAAGAACTGATCTTTTTCTTTTTTTTTTTTCATGTTGTTGGTCAAAAATTTTTTATTGCATTTTAAAGTTTCTAAAACTGTTTGTAATATTTCTAATCCCCACCTTTCCAGTTCAAGTGTTAGAGTTTGCAACGCTTTTCTATATTTGATTAAGGTTGGTATGTAGTCGCTTTCTTTCACATTACTTTCACTGTCAGTTTCAATTTCTGCAGCTCTTTTAACATTATTAACAAGAGGGATGAAAGGTTTAAAGCGACAAGTTTAAAGGGTGTATGGGAAGATCCTTGGGTTAAGAAAATGCTTTTTAATTTATATTAAAAGCAATCATGGAAATAGAGCAGCTATAAGCTGTATCTGAGAAGTTTGTATGCTATGTATAATATTAACATATTTTTTATATAAATCTTAGTGATGACCTTATTCCGTTTAAATAATGGAGGCCATAATAATAAGGAAGTATCTTATCTGACCCTACATGTAAAGTGTACATACACACTTTACAGACACAGATGCATATGTACATTCATCCACAGATATTCAAAAGCATTTTTTAGTTACTCTTTGTCTTAAAACTCTATCAGTTTTTACTTTTTTGAGTTCTTAATCAGTTTATAGTGTGTAAAATGAACTGGGATTAAAAGTTTGATTGCATTTAGAACATACTTCATCACTATGTTCTGCATTGACTAATTTGTCATATACAGAACATATCATCAAGGCACCCAACCAGGATAATGGTTAGTGACATTGACTGCTGTACCAATGAATCTTGGAGAAGGCATTGATGTTTGCAAATACCAGGGTTGGAACTTTAATAGTGGCAACTGTTTATTTACAAGGAATACAAAAGTGATTCATGTCACCATGTTTTACAGTCCTTCAATATAGTCGCCAGCATTGTGTACAACCCGTTTCCATGCAAGAATCTCAGGAACATTTTGGAAGCGAGTGCCATTTTGGAAGCGAGTGAGTGGTTCCTTCATCTCAGGAATTAAGTCATAGTCACAAGGGCTTAGATCTGGGGAGTATGGTGGATGGTAAAGCACTTCCCAGCCCCATCGCTTGAACAAATCAGTCACAGCTTGCACTGCATGTGGCCGAGCATTGTCATGCAAAAATGAGAGGAGCGTTCTGCAGAAAGTGTTGCCTTTGGAGATTGTGCTCCAAAAATGAGCAGTAATACTGCTCAGTGACGGTCTACTGTGGGGGAACGGTATGTGTTAGGATGACACCATCACAGTCGTAACAAGAATTGCCATAACTTTTACATTGCTGGGGTTCTGACGAAATTTCGAATGTCGTGGTGACCCGTGATGACGCCATTCGTTTGATTGGCGTTTCAGTTCTGGCTGGTACGATCGGGCCCAAGTCTCATTCAGCGTAATGATATGGCGTAAAAAAGCATCTCCTTCGCGCTCATAGCATTCCAGGTGGGTTCGGGCAGCATCGTATTGTAGCCATTTCTGCATTTCGATCAATTGATGTGGAACCCATCGTGAAGCAATTTTTCTCATAGACAGGCGTTCCTTCAGAATGTGCAGCACAGTCGTATGTGCTAATCCTGTTTGTCCAGCTAGCTGACGAATCGTTTGGCGGCGATCACTGTCCATTAGTACGGCAACAGCTTGCACGTCTGCATCGCTGACACTCAGACGACCTGGCCGCAGCATGTCTGCCACGTTTTGGCATCCTTCACTGAATGCTTTCACCCATCTTGCTATGGTTCTGTAAGGCAATGCAGATTCCCCGCAAGCCTCTTGAAGCCCTTGATGACACTGTCATGCTGTAGGACCTCTGGCACATTCAATTTTTATCCAACATCGTTGTTCTTGTTTTGAAAACATCTTGACAACACTTACTTTAGACCACGAGCTAATACAAGGATCCGTTCTTCACGTCACTCCGCATGCACGTGATGTAGGCAGGACGAGTCTTTTTGCTGAGAGGTAAGGTAGGTATGTAGTTTACGTGTGGTGTACGCGATATTCTTTGGTTTTGTTGCGTAGCATTTTTTCAGCTGTGTTGCCACTATTAAAGTTCCAACCCTCGTATATAGTGTCTGTGCAGCATGGGGGCACTCTAAATATGCAACGAGCCAAAAGTCCTTTTAAGAGGTTGGTAGTAGTGGAAGAGGGAGGGGAGATGCCGTCTCCTCAGGGTGTTTTCCATCAAAATTGGGGGCAAAACTGAGCAAAGTCATATTGTCACCTGTATGGTGCGCAAAGCTCTTGCCAATGACAGGCAAAATCTTGCACTCTTTGCCAGGATAAATTTCGTGGACTTGCTCTGATGTTACTGTCAAACAAGTGAGATAAGTCACAACAAGAACATGGACTAGTATCTTATTGTACACATTACTGTCAAGAGTTTTATTTTTTCCAGGTATTCTTTGTGGATAATACCATGGCAGTCCCACCAGGTAACAAAGTACGATCATTTTGTTAGTCAAATTGAATTTTGTGATGCTGCCGACAGGCTCAGCAGGTGCAGACCAAACCCCATTTTGGCCGCTGTTGAAGTAAATTCAGTTTTCATCACAAGTGACGATCCAGTGCAGAATTTTGTTCTTGTTTTGATATTTGAGCAGATTAATGCTGGCCCAAACAACATCTGGCCTTATCTGCTTGACTCAGCTCATGTGGCACCCAGGGATTGAATTTGTATGTCAAGTTTATGCAATGCATAGTGAAACTTATGGATATGGCGCTAATTTCTAACTCCTTAACAAGCTCTTAGGTGGTTGCATTCTGATCTTCTTCCAAAGGTTCCTGCAGGGGGGACTAATCAACATCAGTAGGCTGGCTGGAGTGCTCAGCTTGAATGACATAGTCCTTGTTTTTGACCTTTCCGTACCAAATCTTCACAATGTCATGTGCAACAGTAGTACTTAAAGCTGTACACATGATTTGGTGACATTTTGTAGTTACTTTTTCCAACAAAACCGGAAGTAAATGACGGTTTTAACCTGGTACCTTGATAGTTTCATTTCAGACACCTTGTACTTAATGTTAATGATATTTTTTTACAAATTTCACAACACAGTGTTCTAAAGCAGCGATTCTCAACCATTTGACTAATGCATACCATCTAGACAAAAAATGAAAAAACTTTAGTACCACTATTACATTTTACAATGATTATTTTTCAGTTTCTCAATAGAAATATTAAAAAACAATATTTTGCCATTTGTGCAACCTGTTGGCTATTTATATTAAATTTGCACACTTAATAATATTAGATTAAAAATTGATTAAAATTTTTACCATCAAAATTAAAGTTATAATCATTTAACTCTAAAATTTATTGTGGAATTTGAGCCTGTTTAAGACAGATCAATTTAGAAGAGAAGAGAAACACGCCAATGTGACAGTAAAAATTGCAATAACAACCTTGTATTTAGCGTAAATATATTAAAACACTCAATTGATTTCGAAGGCAGCTAAAGGTTCCTCTTCATCAGGAGGAAATTACTAGAAAGAGGAAAAAAGAAGAAAAATAAAGCATCGGCAAAGGAGTCTCAGAAACACGTGGTTGTAACCGGATTTTGAATCTGAGTTACGCTGGTCGCCTACTTTTACTGAGCCAGGCTATCTAATCAAACATATAACACATAGACTAAAATGACTAAACATATAACACATAGACTAAAATGAATTAGAGTAGTAAAAAAATAGGGAGCGAGAGGCAACTGCACCTTCACGCACCGAGGTTCAGACTTGGTCCGTCAAGGTGCAGTTGCTGATAACGACCACATGTTTCTGAGACTCCTTTGCTGATGCTTTATTTTTCTTCTTTTTTCCCCTTTCTAGTAATTTCATTCTCCTGCTGAAGAGGGACCTTTAGCTGCCCTCGAAATCGAATGAATGTTTTAATATGTGTATGCTAAATACAAGGTTGTTATTGCGATTTTGACAGATCAATTTATGTCTGTTTGGTCTTATTTCGCTTAGTTTTAACCATAGATTAGGATCCACTTTTAATTTTGTTCTGTATTTATTTTTCATATATAACATGGAAATTTTCTTCCTTGTTCCCACAAATAGGTTGTGCAGAAAGGCAATAAAAATTTAATAGCTTTATTTGAAATGCCTTTAAATTCTTTTTTTTTTTTTGGTTCAGTCAAAAGTTAACAAGTGTGTTATTTTTGAAATCTTCAGTTAGGGTTTGATCATAGGAAATGTCTATCAATTGTGCTTTCTCTTCACAAGATTTTTGAATTTAGGAGTTTAGAATATTTTACGTACCACCTATTTTTCTCTTGTGTACCACCGGTTAAGAACCCCTGTTCTAATTCAAATATCATTATTTCAAATGCCAAAAGTCATTTGACAAAATATGATTAAACGTGGCAACACAAATTGTTTGTGCAGGCAATATTTGCAGTGGCGGGAAACTTTCATTAAAACCTGATATTTCTAAAATTTAAAAAATTTAATGAATACTATATGTTTTATACATTTACTTTTTTTTTTCTGCAAATTTAAGTTTCTCAGTACAGGTTTCTTTCTTTTTCAGCTTGACAATCCAATAACTATCTTAACCCAGGAGACAAGTCGTAGTTTTTTGATATCTAAAAATGCCGGTAAAGAAAAACTGTATCAGGTTAGTAATTTTAATAGCTCTTTATGGCAAGAGTTTTTTTTTTAAACAGACCAAGTGCAAAATTTATTCATCTTTTGAGTAACATATAACTAATTAATTCGTTTCTGAATAACTTTTAGAACAGATGAATAATAAGAAAGTTTTTATTTAAAATTTTTTTTTTAAGGATTTGAGACACGACAGTTGGGGGGTGTAATGCATGCATATATACTCGAAAGTCAACATTGAAGCATAAACTACTAATCACAGTAATGAACTTGAAACATTAAGCAATGCTTGATCTATGTCATGTAATCAGTAAAAGATAAAATTGTAATGCTTGAATATTTGAAATTGTTTCAGAAAATATTTTTAAAACATGTAAAATATAACTTACTAAATAATTTTTATTTTCATTGTTTGTTTATGTGTGCCAATGGTTAATTTTATAATTTACGAAAATTTCAAGATGTGATGAGTGACTGATTTTTCTGATGTTGAAATTTAAAAATAGTTAAAGTATAGAAAAATTGCTGAAAATGGGTAAATTAAAGATTTGAAATATATTTCATTTGAAAGTTTATTTTCCAACTAATCCAAGTGTTGCAAAGATTGAAAGCCTGATGGTTAATGTCATAACTGAATGAGATATAAGTGGTTCATAAAATACTGTTTCAACATTAAATTAAATTCTAGGTAATGGGGGCAGCAATTAACTGTACATCCAGAATCAATTGAAAAACAGCTGAAGGTGATGGATTGATTTACTGTAATTGGTCTAGAAAGCAGTTCTTCATGTTAAGAACAATTCCGCATAATGAAATAAATTATCCAGTAGGGTCCAGATGTTTGGGTTCGAGGTCCATAAATTTGAAGTTATTTGAATTTTAAGTCTGAAATACATACACTTTCAAAGTAGAATATTTTTGTGAAAACATTTCTATTAAGAGTTAGAGATCTGTCAAAGTCAGAATTAAACTCATTCTCTGGAATTTCCTTCAATTCAGTCAATTTTTTTCATCTTTTACCTGTTACATTGACTTGTCAGCTTAGATATAGGTAAGGAATTATTTAGTATAAAATCAGGTGAATAAAGAGAGTACGGAAAAACAATAGTTCCTATTTTACCCAGAAATTTGAACATAGCGTTGATCTTTGTGAGGAATTTTTATGATTTGCATATCTGGTGTTGAAATCTAAAATCAGCAGTTCAAGGTTAAAAGAAAAAATTCTAGCCTGTCTCCTTTTGTTGTAACCTTAGCAGAATTGTTTCTCATTTGGCAAATTTATTGATTTCTATGTAGCTGATGTTGTAGATGTCAGTCAAAAAATATCTCTCTTTTTTCCCTCTGTCATGAATCTGTAGAGTTTTTGAGGGCTTTTTTCAGCAGTAGTTACGTGATGATTTTCTATTTTGATTCTCAGAATCAATGGTGAGCTAAAAGAGGCTGGCACAAATTGTTTGTTAAATTTGTCTCTAATTTGTGAGCTGTTTGTTCTATCTTTTGTTTGTTTATTATTCTAGGAAAAGCACATGGCTTGTGTGTCATCATACTCTGAAAAGGATTGAATCTCACATCGAAGCCTGACAGGATAAAAGATTTTTTTTGATTTCATCGAGGTAGTTTTGATATGAAACAGCAAAATTCATAGTAGCATTAAGAAAACTAAAGTTATTTTAGAGAATATTGTTAGTAGTGGCATTGAAATTGAAGATTTCTTCATGATGAAATATATATATCCACAGTAAGATATTCTCTGCTTTGTAATGTGCAGAGTCTGAAAAGAAAATGCCAGAGCATAATAGAATGATTGGAAATAGACTAAGCATTATACATATAGCATTAATCAAGCACTGTAAGAATAACTTTTATAGTAACAAATTTATTATATAGTGATCCCATATTTTACATGATTTTGAATAGTGTGGTTTTAAAAGCAAGGAGTTTGAAAGTATTAGGTACTGTGATGTGCCATTGCTGTTTTGCATGCATATTTATGGAAAATATTTTTATTAAAGCCATTTAAAAAAACTGGCACTACTTGGATGCAATATAATACATATGTTGGTTCAGTGTGAGAGGTCGTTAAGTATGTGCTAGATTTAAAACTAATCATTTGTATTCTTAATGAGGCTAGATTTTAAGGTATTCTTTGTCATCCATTATTATTAGCAGATAATGTTTTATTCTTTAAACTGTGTATGAATTAATAAAAATAATATATCAAATATTTTAGAAACATGATGAAAAATATGTTTGCTTATTGTAATGGTATAAATTGAAATTAGTGATAAATATTTTGTACTGTTTTGTTGTATTGCTTTTGTTATTTATTAAGGTTTACAATTTTTTTTGTCAGCTTTTCTATGAAGGGACTGGTTTGCAGAAGCTGCAAGAAAACTATCAACGAGCATCTGAGCTAAGAGATCAAGCAAAGGCTGATCTGGAAAAAAAAAGAATGGCAAGTTGTACATATTTTGATAATTATTATTTATAGTTAATATTTACAGTTATTAAAAAGCTATCAACATACAGTGAAACTTGTGTCCATGAATTGAATTTATTCCTGAAGGCTGTTCATAAACCAAAATATTTATAAACTGAAAAAGCTTTATTCATAGGAATTAATGTAAAATGCAGTAATTTTTTCCTAGACCACAGGTAATTGCTAATTTAAACTTTACAATAGTGTTTTGTGAGTAAGTGTATAGCTCAAAACCAGTGAAAATCGACAAATATAGATCAAGAATGATAAACACAATATTAAACAGGTAAAATATTGAAAAACTAAATTTTATTGTACACATAGAACCCCATCCACAAAAGAAGGGATAGTTCTGTATCTCCCATTTTATTGAACTGACTGGCAAAATTCAACTACGTTTTTAATGTCTCAAAAATATGACTTTAGATATATATTGGATTTATTTATAACATTGTTCTAACATGAGCATTTTGACCCAAAATCAGACCTTTCCTGAAATGATATATGATTTTTTTTCCATATTTGAATGTCACACCTCAAGTTATGCCAAGTTTCATAAAAATCGCCCCAACAGTTCTTAAGAAATTAGATCTAAAAATTTTAGCTCTTCAGTCTCAGTTGAATTTGATATATATTTATTAATATTTCTTTTTTTTAGTAATTTTCTTGATTCCTTCTTTTAGAATTCAAAATTTAGGTTTGATCTAAATAAAATTAACACATTTTTTATGTTTTTTTTTTTAAAAAAAAAATTTGTATTTGTATTTATAAAGTTTTTATAAATTCTTTGAAAAAAATTTTGAATTGTATTCAATACAATTTTTGTCATCATCGAATTCAATACAATTTTTGTCATCATCGTAAAGTAGATGCATTTCTGTAAGCACACCTGCAAAAAATGAGTTTTTTATTGAAAATTTTTACATGAAGATACACATAAAATATACATGAATTTATATTTTGAAATTTAGCATATTTATTATTATCAAAATTCATGTTTTATTGTCTGTTCTGTTAATTTAAATATTCATCAGTTGTGGAAATTTCATTTGTAGCGCACCTTTGGCCTGTATATTCAAACTGAGAACAAAATTAAAAGGTTATTTAAATGTTCTGTATTTTCTGAGTTGATCAAGATGTAGCAATAGCTCGCTACTTGTGTGGTAGGGTCTGCAGGATTTTAACTCCAATTTCCAGTTATAATAGCAACCTTTCAGGTTCTAATTTACTATTTGATTTGCAAATATTTAAAGTATTATTATCTTCTCAAATGCAAAAAGCAGAGTTTTCTTAACATGTTAATTTTTAAAATACTAAGCCGTAATGAAGTTAACATTGAGTACATTAGCTATTATTGTATGCACTTGGTGTTCTTGGAATCTAAGCTAAAGATGGAACAATTGTCTCCTTGCATTATTCACCAGGGAAGATTGAGCAGTTGTTTAGATTAAGTGATATTAGGTTTATCCTACAAACTGTAGTGCCAAAACGATGCTGCAATTTTAAATGTTTTGTTGACTAGCTGACATAAATAGTAGATGATTGTTAATCTTACTTTATTCATTTGTAAATCACATTGCTTAATAATCCATCTTCTCACTGATCAGTAACTATTTCATAGAACCTCTCTGTCCCGAAAATAAGTATGTGTACTTGGCCATCCTGCCTGTTTGTTAGATGTGTCTCTTGCAATTATTTTCACTTTACAAAACTCAAGTGCCCTTTCATAGGAAAGTTTTTCCTGTCATTTAAAAGATAAATGGAATCTGACTTTCTACTCTTAGAACCATGCCAAAAACAGACCTCTACAAATTTTGTCTTTAACCCTCTGAATGGTATGGGCTTTTGGATCTGCTCATGAAAGCCTGTATTTAAACAGCATTTATAAACTAAATTTGTAAGCTTACTTATTTGAGTCTCTGTTTTTATAAACTTCCATTCATTAAAATAATATTTACATCATTAAAAAAGGCAACAAAGCAATATATTTAAAAATATATGCTAATATATACCAAGTGACAAAATATCTCATGATCGGATAAAGCTAGTTATGCCCCTGGGGGGGGAGCTAATTATCAGTTGTATTTGTGTTAAGACAGGAATTTGCATCAATGTACAATCTGCAGAATTTCTGTTTTTTAATACTCTCTGTTTATTTAATTGCCATACTATGAATATACATTAAAACTCCACTTATATATACACTTGAACTTCAGTTAATTGGAATGATTATCTCAACTAAAAATTTGAAGGTAAGTCAAAATGAATATCAAAACATACTATTTGAAATTGATACTGTTTCAAAGTTGAATTCTTAATATTTGTTCTTTGATGAATGTGTTCCTTCAGTTTTGGCATATTGAAACTTGACTGTAATTGGATAGATTAATTGCTTTTTTTTCCAAGAAAGCAAAATTCTTATGCACGATATACCTTAATGCATAGTTTCAAACTAAGTACTTAGCAGTATAAAGTATTTTTAAGAGTTTGGTGGTATAGATTAAATCTCATCTTAGAGTAAAAATATATTAAATATAAATAAATGCTTGAATATAAGTATGGAAAAATAAAATGAATGTATAAGTTTCATATAAACCCTCTTACAAAAAGTGTTTTTAAATTGCTAGCTTTTCCCTATATTATTGCAGATAATTTAAATAAGTATGCTCTTTGATATGTTGTTTACTGGATTCAAAATGCAAAATTATGTGATTTAGAATATTGGCATCCAATATTAATAGTGGATCATTAGGTGGAATGGTATAACTGTTGGATTCTGACCAAAAAATGTTTGGAAAATGCTTTATTCCTCTATCATTTGGTAATCAAGTTTGAACTGAACTATTATCCTCCTGGTTTTACTTTAATTTACATTTAAAATATCTAGAAAATGAAAAGCAGTCTCCCTGAAAGATACAACTAAGTGACTTTAAAGAAAAGTTTTAATAAGAACACAAATTTTGTGAAAATAAATTTTTGAGAAAATTTCAACATTCTTGAGTCAATATTGGAAACAAATATTTCTGAAAGAAGAAAATCAGAAGAAAAAAATGCCAAACTGCTTCAAAGAAATTGTGTTTTCAAGGAGAAATATCTGGACATTCAAATTATATTTTGCTGAGGTTTTTCACTCAGTGCAGCATGTCAAATATTCCAGCAAATGGGCCTATACCAAAGAAAAAGACAAAAAATAACATCCTGAAGGGTGATTGTTTTTTCAAACAGCTGTATAAATTTAAATTATGCCATTGAACATCATATCTTATCATAAATGCTGAATTCATTTGTTGAATATTCATAAATTTATCCAAACGTGTGTGGGTATCAGTTAAAAATGTTTTCAGTGTTGATGAAACTAGTCTTTTCTGTTGTCTCATGCTTTTAAAATCCCTAGCCTCTAGAGTTTTCAGAAAATGCTGGTGGCTGTTAAGACTGACTAATGACATAGCACTCTGCTGGCAGGCTAGAAAGTTTCTTTTTTTTGGGGGGAGGGGGTAAGAATTTTTTTTTTTCCTTTTCTCTTCCCCCCCCCTCAGGAGTTTTCAGGAGCCTTTACTGGGATAACTATAGAGAGACAAGGCAGGGCAAAGCACTGTATGGTGTGTTTAAGTATCAAAGTGTTGAAATTTGAAGCTGAGCATAACATATTAAAAGTTTTAAAAATATGTAAACCACAGTTCTCCATAATTTTTGCTGTAAATATTTATTGATTTTAGAGGATTTGACATAGCACTTAAAATCTCATAAGTTAGCTAAAATAAAAACACAAAATTAAATTAAATGTTACTTAAATCGAAAAGACTATTGTGTGGTAGAAACACAGCATTTTTCAAGGTGAGAACTTTCTAGATGCATAGTTTTAGCAAGCAGTTTAAATAACTAAATATATTTTAGGAAGCATATTTGCTTAACCACTGCATTTCCGTTGAATTTTAGCACTAGGTTAAGTATTATCAGATTATTTTTTAGCTTAATTCCAGTCTTTCTAAAAAATATAACTTCATAATTTTATGTGTTGTCTCATTGCTTTCAAAAAATTATTAAGAATTCTAGGTTGTAAGCCCATATTTTTTTAAACTTGTATGTTTCAAGTAAAGGAATATTTTTTTAACTGTATAATAAATTAATTTGTTAAATATCTTAATTTGGAAATAATTGTGCATTTCAATGCATTTTTAGGCGCTACCAGAGATGGAAAAGGAAATAGAACAATGGGAAAACCTTTTGACTCATGCAGAGAAAGTGAAGGATTTAGAAGTTGAGCTATTGTGGGCTATAGCTATAGAAGTAGAAAAGGTGATATATGTCTTTATATACTTTATGTCTTGAATTTTTTAATTAATATATATATATATATATATATTTCAGTTAAAAATGTCTTTCATATATCTTTTTTCTAAATATCTCATATAATGAATATCTAAAGTTTTAAAAACTCATTCATTTTATGATAATGTAATTGTAAGTGTGTCAACTTTGACCTGCATAAAAAACCATTTTTCTAGAAAAATCTTTATTCAACTTTTCTAGCATATTTTGTTCCCTAAATTTGATTACAGCTATGTACAGAATGGTATTCACCAAAGAGAGGGATGCCTCATGGAGGATTTTAAAGGAAACTAGCTTGTATCCATGTCACATGGAGAAAATCATGAAAACACACACATCCATCTCGTTTATTGTGATTCGATGCCTACATCACATTTCTAGTGTTGGCAGCTAAATGCTAACGCTGCATGTAAACTTATTTTAAATGTTGCATAGACTTATGTATAAACCTATAATTTGGAAAAATTTTAATAAATATATACAATTTTTATTTTCACATTTGGCAGCAGCTAGCTTTAGTGTGCCGGTCTGCCTCCTTTGCTTTAGTTCATTCTGTGTTCATGCTGATCAACATTTTCTTCTGAGTTATTGAACATTAATAATTTGATCAACATTATCTTTCGAGTTAAAGTACATTAACAATTTGTATATATTTGAAGTAAATTATTGCATGTATTTAGTCTTGTATTACATAAGTAGTGTCTGGAGAGTTTCAAAATCTACTCATCATATTTATCTCTAAAAAAATTATAACTATTAATTATCTGTTATTGATAAGAAGCTTAAAATATGGTGGAATTTGTATTTGAAACTAGGTAAATCTGATATTAGACTGACAGAAAATTCAAGTGGTTATTTTATACCAATTTTTATAATGTGATGTATGGCATTAGCACATTTTATTAATTACAATAATGCTGAAACGTATATAAAATTACTAATTAGATATGTTATAAATTATATTAGTGAAATGCCCTCTAAATTATAAGAATCAGATATATTCTTTAAAATCTAAGTTGTTAAAAAGTAGGTTTATTTCTTTTAAATCACTCAGATTTTAAGCAGTCATACTTATAATCAGAAAGATAAATCAAAAATCTTATTCCATGTAAATAATAATATGCTGGAAACTAGATATTTGCTGTGTTATATGGAAGATGAGAATATTCTATTTCTATAGTAATGTTTACTATATTGTATGGGTGGTAAATCTCTTGATAGCATAACCTAACATTGGTGAATGGTTTAAAAATTAAATTTTCCTTGCTTTATGTATTTCCACATTTTTCTGTGTGTAAGTAAACATTTTAAGCCCCTCCCCCCAAACAAAGTTTCCTTGCCCTAGATTTTAAATGAATTTCTATGCCAAGTATAAAAAATAAGAATGACTTTAATTTATATTCACTAGTTTTCTAATGATTTATGTTAAATAAGAGAAAATTAATGAAAAATTTTTTATCATTTCAAATAAAACATGAACTGTTCATGACAAGTAGCTCAGTCACCAAACTGGTCTATCGGGCCTGCACAGAACCCAAATGCATTGTCTTGTGAAGACTGCATTTTGCACTGCTAAGCCTAACTTTTGAAACAAATTCACATAACTTAAATATGTCTTCCAATTGCTCCAGTTATTAATACATTATGAGAGGAGCATTCAGGTAGTTATCAGAATTAATTTTAAAACTTTATCATTGTATTTTCCTTAAAATTTTTGTAAAATAATCAATTCAGGAGTAATATAATTTTTGACTTTCCTGAAATAAATATATGGTAGAAACATCCAATCACAGATTTTATTTAATACAACACATTATTGAAAATAAAAATTATTAAAAATCATATCCATAAAAAACCAGCATGTGTAATTAACTTACTTTAAATAATTATATATATATATATATAATATATATATGTGTATATATATATATGTTATTAGAATCCCCATAACTATCACTTTCCAGTTTTGCAAAAATATCACTGTCATCAGTCTAAGAAAAAGACTGATTTATCATTGGTGTAATACCATTTTTGTTTCTTTGGTTAAATACCATTTTTGTTTTGCCATTTAGGTGTAAAAATACTTTGGTAAACTGTACAAAATATCTCTCTTAATGCTGAGGGGGATAAAACCAAAGATCCTCTGAAGAGATAGAACATCTATCCCTTTACATATATGCATAAAAAATTCTGAAGCATGGATAGCATGTGCATTTGTTTATATCAGCTGAACATTTAGAGCCAATACATCACTCAACACCCACCAATCTGGCTCTCATTCCGAAACAAAATACTACAAACAAAAAATGTTGCATAGGAATGAAGGTCAGCATGCTTCAGTGGCGACAAAAAATACTAATTAAATGCTGTATCTAAAAAGTCATATGTATTAAGGGGGGGGCCACGAGTGAATTAAACAGCAATTCATATTTTACACACCTGTCCCTGAGATAACATTTGCTGGGGATGCACATAAGACACATTCCTCCCAAATGGGTTAAGAGAGAGAAAAGTATTTGTACTTGTGAAAATAAAAACAGCAACAACAACTAAATATTATTCTACATAAATTTTCTGAAGGGACATGTTGCCAAAGCATGTTATATGTTAAATTTAATGCCATTATTTTTTGTTGACCTACCTTTAGATCATAAATACAGATCTAAAATAATTTATTTTTATCTGGAATAAAATGTTCATTTATTTCAGTTTTATCTATTTCCACTACTGTTTCATCTTTGTATGTATCTGATTTGCCATCTAAATTACCAGAAGTTTCATTTTTATTGGTAACCTTTCACAAAATTATCAGTGCCACTTAAAAAAAAAATTATAAATAAATTGCAAATGTACAAAAGTGACAGTAAGCATTGGGAGTGCAAATTTTGCAATATCATAGGAGAGGTAAATGCTTACACTGGCTTAGTATCATATTATGACAGTAGCGGCTCTGGGGGTGTAACAACATGAACTCAGTTCCTACTGTCAGAAAAGACAACCTATGTTGTCCCGTACACTAGTGGCTTTGACCATCCAAGTGAGGGAAATAACATGGAGTCAGTAGATACCTCTTCCCTTTGTGATCTCCATGCACCTGAGATTTGGATGAGGCCTAGGCCGCCAGTTGAGTATTGAGGGTTTAAAAGAGAGTCTTCTTTTTGAAAGTCTTTACATTGGGATTGAGGCTGTCTTTGTGCAGCAAGTTGAGTTTGTACTATCCTGCATTTAAAGGATTCCACTGATAGCACCCAATCTTCCTGCCTAATATGAAAGCAGTTCAAGATTGTTGCCTTAGTTGCATTATCTTGCTGAAGAAGTTAACAAAATATGATTGATCCCTCCAAAAGGAATCATATAATGATCATTCATATTAATATTTTATGTACTAATATTATTTTAATAACTAATAATATTTTACTAATAAATGTTTTAATAACTAATAATATTTTATGTACTATTCTGAAGAAAGGACATGAAATGGAAATGCATGGCAATGGCATTTAACTCATACAATGAGGCAGACTGATATTCAGATAAGCAAAAGATATTTAAATTCATTTCTGCATTTGAAATTATTATGTAAATGTTCCAAATAAAGAGTAATATCAGTAACTAATGTCTTAATTAACTGCAATCTATTTATTGCAGTCTGCTGTCTTTCACGTGAATGAAAGTATACTTACTGATAAATTTACAAATGTAATAGCCACTAGTGTAATTACAAATGAAATTTTTATTAATTTCTCTGTTTTGTATTATTCTGTAGGATTCATGTTCTAACAGTTATAATATTGGTGCCAGAATAAATATGCTGAATGATTATATTATTTAATAACTATGATGTGAAAAGTAGGCATGTATATCTATAACAGTTATCTGATTTTTTGTAGAAATTATGGGAAATCGAAAACAAGTATGATAAAATTGTGAATGAAATCAGAAAAGTGTCCGAAGAGAAAAAAAGATCTGAGGTAACTGATTTTTCATTTCTAATAGTTTTTTCTAATTTTTTTTTCATTGTGAAACAGAGAAGATGCTGTATTTTAAAATACTGACTTTAATTTTTTCCTTTGTAAGGTTATTATTATTTTGAATAGCCAGTTATTTTATAATTTAGGTCTTTATAGTCACTCCGTTTCCTTACCAGAATGCAAATTAATTCGAAAGTATATCAAAGGTGAGATTTTTGGATTTAAGACAGAGCATGTTTTTGCCTTAAATATTACTGGGTAGCTGGCTCAGATACGATTGTATTCTCTTCAGCTTTACAGTATAGTTACTGACGTTTGCATACTAAGAAAGCGGCAGAAATACCTTATATGCTCCTCCTTTTAAAGGGCTACTGGGGATTAGGGGACCCAATTGCCAAATTCCGGTGGTGAAGAATCATCATCCACCACCCTTTTTAGTTTGGTACCACTGTAGAGACATTAGATTTTTTTTTTTTTTTTTGAATCAAGAGACATGAAAAATGAGCAGTGTCCTAGCCAGGATTTGAACCATGGACCTCTCGAATACACGCCGAGTGTGCTGACCATTAAACCACGAAGGCATGCTAAGGAGGTGGCGGAAATACCTTTTATTAAGTAGTAATTTATTTTTGTAAATTACAATATGTACATTATAATAAACTGATTACATACTGTCACATTTGCACTGGTAAACAGAGTAACAAACAGATGACAGACAATTTTATTCCTGTTAGTTACTAGCACAGAAAGATACGCATAAAACATGCTATCACTTCTATATCTGGTAATATCTATTAGAATATCATAAAAGACAAAAATGAAGGTTATTTGAAAATCATAAACATTTAAAAAGTAATTTCTTTGCTATTATTAAAGTAATGAATAACCTTTGAAGTGAGTCTTCAGTTCAGAGAAGAGAAAAAAGTCTGTTGGTGCCAAATAAAAAGGAGGGAAGGTTGAAGATTATCATTCTTTTCTTTGCTGGAAACTGTTTGATGAGATTGGAATTATCTGGGAATGTTTTGACAAGCAGCAGAAATGGGTTTGTCTTGTGACTGAGCTTTTTCAGGCCCGATATGCATCAGTTCTCATAAAAAATTTGTCCATTTGTATCTTTGTAATGTACGGAAATAAGATCTGCCCCCTTGGAACAAATTCCTTGCAAAGTATCTCTTTCCAATCAAGAAAGTTTCCTAACATAGTCTTGTTTGAGATTTCTGAAACTGAAATAGGGGAAAACTGAAATAGTGAACCATCTCCAATCTAAACATATGACAGCTCTGCTATCTCAGGATCCATAAGCCAAGCACAAAATTTCATCTCCAGTCATAATTTGTTTGAAAATCAGGATTAATTTCTACCATTTTGAACAAGTCATGATATGAGAGAATTTGATCTTTCAGTTCTACTGTCAATATGTGATAGACAAAGGAGCAAAAAAAAAATTTTTTTTTTCAAAATCTTCCATGACAGTTGGAAAAAAAATTCTCATCTATTTGAGACTGTGGAGAGGGACTAGTTCTAAGCTTATAATCAACATCTTTGCACCCGCCATGAAATTGTGTCTAAAGAAAAATATTAGATCATATATATATATATTTATACAGTACAAACTCCGAGGTCTGGACTCGTCGGGACTTCGGCGATCCCAGATTTGAGATTTTTCCGGATATTAGATCATTTTAAATCTTCTAAGATGGCACGTAGAAATTATAAAATTGAAAATATGAAATCGTGATTTATGAAATAATGAAGCATTTATGATTTAAAGGGTATCAAATTTACCAAAGAAAAGAGCTTAATATTTATATGTTTACTTTATTAAACATTTCTTTCAATGTGAGTTGTTTGATTTGTTTTCTCTGCTAATACTTTAGACTAATACTATAGACATATAATTTCTTGTTCAGTTATTAAGTTCCATTGTTCAAGTCCTGTAATTGCTGTGTCGAGAATTCCGAATAACTTGTCAATCAAAATTTTTTCTCGTTCAGTAACCTCTCTGTTACTTTCTTCACTATCGGTAGCTGTATTTTCTGGATTTAGAACCATACTACAGATTCCGCCCTCCGTTAATTGATTGATGATTGGGCATTGTCATTGCAATGAAAAACTTCTGTTTAACTTCGCTAAATTCTGCCGCCTGGTGCGGCCATGCGAGCTCTGGAGCTGGTTCTGGCTTTATGTGAATAACAAATCAGTTATTCTTAATTCAAATAGCACTAAATATAATCGTTTGTCCTATGAGTATCATTAACAAAATCTATTTTTAGCATAAGGAAAGAAATTTCTGCTAAATCTCCCCTTGTCAACATTTTAGCGCTTAAAACTTAATTCTGTAAAATAATTTAATTTAAACTTAATTCTGTAATTTAAACTTAATCCTGTAATCGGATAATACTCTGTTATTTGGCGTCGCTGCATGATTCATCACTCAAGTTGTCATCCGTTGATAAACATGCGGTGATGAAAGCAAAATACAATAAATAATGATTCGCGATTTCGGCATCAAGGATATAAAATATTAGTTGGTGTAAAATTAACAAATGTTTCGGTTTGAGATTATGCCAAGCAGATACGCAGCTATGGAGTCAAGTTACTAATCACACAAATTTATGCTAAAATAATTATTTCTTCAATAATGAGATATTTTATTTAGCACCAAACTAAGATTAAGAATCGGATTTCCTGGCATTTTTTTTTATGATGAGGAAAAAAATCTAATGCGCGTGCGTAAAGCATACCCCTTCCCTTCAAAAAAACCCTAAAAAATTGGTTGGTGGTGGCTTTGAGGTCCAGATTTTAGATCATTCCAGATATTGGATGTCCGGATCTCGGACTTTGTACTGTATATATATATATACACATCTTTCAAAATATAACTTACCAGTATGGATTCACTCTTTTAAAATAATTCTACTTTAATTAAACTTAGGAGATAATATAATCAATTAATCTATATTGTTTAGGAAATAAATTATATATATATAGTAAAAAATGTATATTTTCACTATTCAAGTATTCACTGTGACAAGTATTCTTATCTTGTCACATGAACAGGCCTCTGTGGAAAGGGGCTTCTCTGTAAATAAAGCAATTGAAATTGAAAATTTAAGTGACTCATCATACATTTTTCAACGCACAGTATTTGATTACATAAAATTTTCTGGAGGTGTTCTTAATATCGAAATTAATAAAGAAATGAGATCAGCAGCAGCTTCTGCAAGAAGTGGAGTTCGTTATTTAGAAGTTCAGTATTTAGAAGAAGTTCAGTATTTAGAAGAACAAAAATCTTTAACTAAATCTGAAAATTCAAAGAGGAAAAGAAATATTATTGAGGAAGAAATTGATTATATGAAGCAGAAGAAAAACTTTCCTCAAAGGGACATTAAAGATATTAATGAAGAAGTAGATGCTTTAGCAGATAAAGCTGAGACCATCAGGAACATTGATTTGTTTATCAAAGCAAATGAACTTAGAAGAATAGTTAAAGAAAAGGAAATAGACATAAGTAAATTAATGTTAAAATAGCTGAAAAGATTTCAGATTTAAAAAAAGCACAAATGTTTTGTATCTTTTATTGTACAGTTTATTATTCTAGTATCTTTCAAAAAACCAAGGAAATAAATTGTATGTTTACAAATCAGTTATTTTAATCTGCAAAATATTCTTACATTGTGATTATAATAGTAGTTGACTATGTTTAAATAAATATCAAATAAGTTAAATAATAATCATGTAAATCTCTAAAATAGTGACTGTTATTAGTGTAAAATACACTTATACATGTTTTTCAAGAAATTATGTTCCTCATTTAATGTTATCTACTTCATAACTTGTAGGGAGTTAGTTTAATTTTCAAAATTGTTTTATGGTAAGTATTAAAGTTGAATTTAATAATAGTGCATAATACACACTTCTGTTAGTTTTTTTAAAGTGAAATTACAAGCATGAAGTCGGTTGTATGGATAATTGCTTTATTCTATTCATTTTTTTGTTTGCTGATAGGTCCTTAATTTTTTCTTTGATGGTCCTTAAAAGTCCTTAATTTTCATGTAAGGAAATGTGTACAAACCCTGATCAAAAGTTAAAGTAGATATTTTAGGAAATGTGAGTTGTTATAGTAATAAATATTGTCAGTTATTATCTAGTAGATTTGCTGGAATTTATTTAAAAAATTAATGGAATTGTTTAAGAATAGAGTGAGTGCATTATGCGTATTCCTTTATATTCAAAATGGACACACATTCAGTTTTTCAGAGAATTTTGTAATAAAATTTGTATCCCAATATTTTAATAAAGTTTTCATACTTATAATTTAAGAAGAAAAAAATAAAAGTAAACTATTAAATGTCACTTTTTTTTATTTTGGTGAGTAATTTTTATTTTATAAAAATTTTTTTTATGAACTTCTATTTAGGAAATGTACATACTTTGTTGTTTTTTAGGAAATAAATAAACATAATTCTTTTATTTAAATCAATACCTTTCCACAGTTTTTGTGTAGTAGCTAATTTATATTTTCTTTTCAGGAAAAACTAGGTTTGTCGTTAAAAAATGTTGAAAATTTTTCTGTGAAGCAAAGGGAGCTAAATATGGAAATCATGTCAAAAAGTAATGCTTTATCAAAGCTTAAATCTGAAGAAGAAAATTTATGTAAAGATATTCGAGAACACCGGGTATGTATTTAAAATTTATTTAAAAATTTACTGTTATGCATAAAACATTTATTTTTTTATTGATTTTTACCATAAGGAGAATGATAAGCTGATATTGTTTTGGAATGATAAGAAAAATAATAAAACTTTATCTAATATATACAAGATATTTAAAATTGTGGCGTAAAGCAGGGTTTCTTAAACTAAGGGGGTCGTGGGACCTGCAGCAGAGGGGGGTCACTAAAAATTTTAGCAATTTTGATATTTCTTTAACTTATTATAATAATTTTACAATTGTCGAATGTTTTTACACAATGTATCTGAAAATAGATAAAGATAAGACAATACAGACAAAGAAAAAAACTAAAACGTTTCGACACATTTCTTTTTATAATATAAATGTTCATTTTCCTTGCTTTGCATGTGAAACTGTCATTTCGTATGTTACTTATTTAATATTTTCACATTGTTCTATGTCTTAAAATTAGAAATTAATGTCCGACAAAATTTTTGTAAATATTATGGGGTCCTTGGGGGTCGCGAAAAAAATCTCGGTGATAAAAAGGGGTCTTGATTGAAAAAAGTTTAAGAAACCCTGGCGTAAGGCATTATTTTCTGTAATATTACACTTTCTGATGAGTCCGGATCTTGGATGTTAAGTCCAAGGTCCGGACTCGTCAGTCTGCTGTTATAAATATTCAGTTCTCCCATCGGTTTGCTGAAATAAAAAATGAAGATTTAATCTACCCTCACCTTCAATTTGCTATTCATTATGGATCAAAACTTCTACGCCATCAAAATTTCTGCTAGTCTACACTTCTGACTTTGTTATCATCACATTTCTATACACCCACTCTGTTACTTGGCTCAGTGAACTCAGTTTTGTTTATTTTTATATGTTGGTAAATTGTGCATTTTTTGCTTTAAAAATGATTGAATTATATTTATTATCTTCCGGTTAAGATTTTTATGCCTTTAGTTAATTTGCATGTAATAGTTGTAGAATTATCAGCAATTTAAAAGTTGCTTAAGTGTGGTTAAGCCTAATTTTTTTTTACCATAGCAGCCATATTTGTTTACATTTGAAACTTAGCAGAATAGTGAATTAAGTCTTTCTGCACCTTCAGTGTCTTTTTGCATAGTGGGATCAAAAGGAAACTTAGTTTTGTGCACCGAAAAATCTGCCTTCTTGCCCACTGGTCGAATTGTTTGTTTTTGTATAGAAATTGTAATTTTAATTGTAAAAATTGTTATTTTAATTGTTTTACTGTATCTGGTGTTTTTTGTTTTTCTATATCTTTCTACTTTTAATGAAGATGTTTTGAGTTATGTATTTTTGCCTTGCCACAAAGTGAGAACTGAATATTTTGAATTAGAAATATACCTCTAATAAAATTCGAGGAAATAAGTTTAAATGAAATGCAGGGAAAAAATGCGTATAATTTAATTTTGCATACAAGGAGTAACGTGGTGTACACATCAAGATTTTTTTTAAAGAAACAGATATTCATGTTTTATTAATGTACATATAAATAAGTTAATTTATGACATTTAATTCTTATAGATCTGAGCTATTATCATATGGGGTAGAGGAAAAACACAAAAAAGTTGTTTTGCTAACTTTTCAAATTTTTCCCATGGTGCATTCTATAGTTGCAATCTCAGTTAATGAAAAGAATATTACTACTGCACACATAAATGAGTTGAGTAATATTAACTCCATGAAAAAAATTATTTCATTAGTATAATGTTGAAAGTACTTTTGACGGGGGTGGGGGGAGTGTTTACTTATCTGTCTCTGAAATTTATTTATTTGAAGTTTAATATTTTGATCAAGTGAGGAAACAGTTAAAATTTAAAAAGAATTTGCTTTGAAAATTCAAGCTAGAGTAAAGTCTTGTAAATAGTCCAATGAAGATCCTGCTTAATGAGAATACATGTAGTACATTTTCATTTACATTTGTTTAATCATTATGTATGATATCATTTTTTTATGTCTGACACTTTATCGCAGCCAAAAGTGATTCAGTTCTTAATTAATTTAATATGTCAGTTTGAAATATAACATTAAATTAATGGAAGATTGAATTTGTGCGAGAAATGAAAACTACATATTAAGCAGTTATTTGAAATGCATATATTTATGTATAATTTAGTATGATGTTTTAAATTTTTTAGGGTTTGTTGGACAGGTATAAAAGACAGCGTGAAAGATTGCATAATGATATTACACTTTCACAAAATGCTCTTAATGAAGCTTTGCAGAAGTAAGTTAATTAAATTATGCAATTTTTTCAGTTCTTATTCCATGATTCTTAGAATTTTGATATGTAAATAATTAAAGTTAATTATATTCAAAATTGGAAAAAAAGATGTAATTTATATTTATTGCAGTTTTCTTAGGTTTTTGTAAAGCAGTCATATTATTTGTCAAAATGTACAGCTTTTTTTTTACATGTTATTTATCCAGACACTGAAATCCCACACCTATCAATTCAGAGGTGCAAAAAATCTTTAATGGCAAAGAAGTAATAGAATTTTTACAGAATCATAAGATGGAAATTGCATTTCTATTTTTTTAAATGTCATAATCATCAGTGATGATCCATCAAGTGCCATTTAATTATTTTGATTATGCAATGGTGAAAATGGTGAAGAAGAATATATTCAAAATGCGGACTTGCATTTTTAACTCTCATCTAGTAAGAATTTCTAGTTACATTTTGTTAAGTATTTTTAAATATCGATGTTAGAATGCCTGTTGTGATTAAAATATATTTCTAACCTAAATTAAAAACTTAGATTTTTCATTAACCTGCTTTCATGATTTTATTCATAGTTTTGTATTTGAATTAGGAACAAAGAAAACTTTTATAACATTTTAGGTTTGTAGGCTTTCAGCTAATTAGAAAGATGCTAATTTCTTGAATTTTAGACTTTTATAGTAATATAGAAATTTGAGACAGTCTCTGCACTCAGCAGGTTTCATTGATCTTTAAATCCAGTGTTGTCCAAGTGAAATGTTAAGAGACCTCAGATAGTGGCACAATTTGGTAATAGAAACGGTTACAGCTTTTACAGTTAGGAAGTGGGGATTGAAGACTTTTAAGAAGAATTAAAATGAATTTAATTTTATTGTGATTTTATTATTAATTTTGTTGATCATCATAATATTGAAGCACTAGTGTATAAGTGCAGCAGTTCATATAATTAGTTTTAATGAAAATAAAACAAAAATTATCAGAGATTTTTGAAAATAATTTTTATTATCAATTTCTTTCAGTCAGTTCCTTACATTAAGTATTGGAATTAGTATTCACATGCTTAAAATTGCATTAGCAAATGAATTTAATCTAATATTTATGCTACATATGTGATCCTCAAGTTACATTAAGCTCAGATATTGAAAATTTCTTTAATGAAGAAATTTCATTTTTTATGACACCACAATTTCGATGAGGGACAGTTTTGTATCATTGCCAGTCTCTTAAGTTTCATGCTGTATAGTTAGTTAACAAAAGAGATTTTTCAGGTCACGAATTTCAAGATTTCTCGCTTACTTCCTTTGTGTGCACTGTTACCTCTTCTTAGTATGAAACAAGACCTTATTTGTGAAAAAATTCATATTATTCCCTAAAAGAATAAAATGAGCTGTTTTGAACTTTAATATAACATTTTAACCCCTCCAAAAAGTCATTATGGTCTTTAATTGAAAAGACAGAAATGTTTAATACAGCTATATCAGATTGGGAAACATAATGGCCTTATATGTAAATTGATCACGTTAATTATAAAAAGTAAATAAATCTAAGCAATAAACTTTTTTTATGCAATTTACCTTGTTCAAGCATTTGATTACTTGTGCTTAGAGCTCCTAGGATTTAATAGTATCTGTTAAATTTTCATTAAGAAATTTATACCTGCACATGTTATAGCTGGCTTTCTGTTCATTCCATTTTGATTATTTTGTGCTAAAAAGAATAAAATGTGTTTATGAAATATGTAATTAAATTGAACAAAAGTAGATGTGATGTTTTATATTTTGTTATTTGTTACGTTGGCTCTTGCAGTATGATTGTGAATGGTGTACAAACTTAGGCAATCACTGAGTGGTAAAAGAAAATAAATTTCATATGTCTTCATATTATGTAATACTGTGTTTCAATTGCAATTTTGTATTATTCTTATAAATAAAACTCACCACAATATCCATACAGTCAATTAAAAAATTTCAGTAAGGAAGATAAATAGAATGCAAAACTTTGCTTTAGATTTGCTGTTTCTACTCCTGTGAAAATGGCATAACCAAATGATAAGTGTGGCTTAGCTCCATAGGCTTGGCAGTTGAACTTTATTGTAGATTTGGTAAACTTGGGTTATCAGCAGAATTTATCATGACTAAATTATCAGCAGATTCTAGAAGCCAGAAGGATGGGATGCTCTTATCTTATGGGAAATGCTTTTGGATTTTCAGGAAAAATAATAGAAAATGTATAAAGGAAATGTGGGAGTTTCAGTTGAGTGGCACTGGCACACGGAAACAACAGATATCCATAGATAGTGTAAGAATGAGATTGCCAGGATCCGAGAAAAACACAACCAAGAGGGTACATGCTTCCATAAATCCCATTTTAGTTTGGATACAACTTCAGCTAGCTTCAGTGTGGTGTGCTGCACACAGTACATTCCACAGTGTTTTAGAACAGGCAGCCATCAAGACTGCCACTGATTAAAATCATAGAATCAGGAAATGTGCTTCATTTAGGACAGGGAATGTAGTCTTTCAAATAAAAGTGTTGTGTTGATTTGTCAGATAAATCACATTTTCTACTCTTTTTACAAAATAAATGTATATGTTTGTGTAGATTGAGATTAATTATGTGTCCTTCAACAGTTTTTTTTCCCTCCCTCAAGTTGAGTGAGTGGCTGTGGGATGAATTGAGAATAGAGTAGAAAAAAGTATGCAAGGACTATTAATGTAACAAGAACATCTTATGTTGATGTTGTTGCAGAGCATTTGCATTCATTTTAAAAGCATGATAATTCTGTACGTTGATGTAAATGGATGACTCAGAAACTGGCTCTAAGTAATTTCTGATTTCCACATACCTGACTGGCCCTAATACTTATCAGATCTAAATACTTTTGAAAAATTGTGAGACATTATGGTGATGTCTTAAATGCTTTGCGCAGATATTTAGTAAATCAGGTTGCATTATAAGCAGCCAAAGACCGTATCTAAAATTGATGTATCTTTGTTGCGATTGGAACACCTCTTTGATTCGATGTCGTACTACATAATTGTAGTTATTTGGAAGAGCAGATGATTTCAAGTTATTAATTAGGCTTGCATATGTAGAAAAATATAATAAAGGTTTTATAAATGAAAATATTGGTGCTATAATAACATGTGTTCTAACAAAATCACTGGTGACTTATTCATTGTGAATGTTAAGTGTAACATTGTTTATGTGTGATATTATATTGATGCAGCATTTAATTAATGTTAATTTCCTGTTTCACCAACAGACGAGTTTCCAGGTTTGGTTGTAAAACAATTTTAGTGATATTTTTATTACAGTGACAAAGAATAAGTTGCATTAATTCTAATGAAAGATTTAAAAGAATTTCTTAAGACATTTATTGCAAAAATTAATTCCCCCCTTTTTTTTTCTTTCTTTCTTTCTTTCAATTTTTAGAGATAAAGATGATACAGATGCAGAGCAGAGAAAGAGAGAAGAAGAAATTCAAATCTTAGAAACAGAATTGTTGGGTATAAAGTCAAAATTAGAGGAAAAATCAAAAGCATGGAGAGCTTGTTTGGAGCAAGAAGATATGTTAAAACAGAAACTTTCAATACTAGAGTATGTATATTTTAAATTGTTCTTTTTATCATGCTGGTTGTATGGTTAGAGAAGCTAAGCTGTTGAAACTTTAATCACTTTTGTTACTTTATCAAGTTTCTTAAACTTTTGCATTTAGATCTTTTCAATTTATCATTCAGGAAGTCATAATTTCACAAAATAATAAGTAACATATTGATAATATTAATATAAAATAATAAAAAGTGCCAGGAATATTTAACATAAAATAAACATGACATATTACATTGTTATCCTCACTTGAAGATTGTGAAATCTTTTTGCTTTTTTTGTTTGAATAAATTTTTCCTTAAAGTGTTATGTGGGATGCTAAGAAAGAGACATGCAAATTATCTAAAATGCAAGTAAAAGAATTATTGCATGAAATTAATTTATTTGCTATTTTAACTTGTAGAGACCATTAGATATTGGGAGTGAGAAATATGAAAAATAACTGTACTCTCACTGCAATTTGAACCATGGATAGTCCATTGCTATCTGGTTGTGCTTATTTCTTACATCATCAGTGGGGATGCAATAATTCCATATATTTTCGCTCACGTAAAGGGTGACTATAGAGGATCTGAATCCCAGTCAGCTAAATCAAAGCGATAATAAGTTTCCATCTATCACATTTTAATTTGGATACTACTATAGGAATTATTAAGCCTTCTTCAGAGCTATCATGAAAATACACTTATACTTCCTCTCTGATTCTAATCATGGACCTTTCAGTTTCATTTGGATATGTTAATTATGTGCATTACAAGAGCATTCTTCAAAGCTATGATAATTTCATTCAAATTAGGTTTTTCCCATATTTTTTAATGCTGTTTTCTCAGAATACTAAATCTGCACATTTGTGGTTTTGGCATGATGATAATGATGATACCTGTTCCTGCAGTATTTTGTGCAAAATTATGTATATATCTAAACATGTATGTATCTAAACATATATGTATCTATATGTATGTATCTAAACATGTATATATATATATATATATCTATATATATATATATAGATATATATATATAATAAAATTCCATAGTCAAGAATTCTAAGTGTATGTTCTTAACACTTAAAATTCTAAGTGTATGTTCTTTTCTGGCGTTATATTTTAAATTAGCGAAGTTGCCGAAAGTAGTTAAGGTGGGATCGATAAAGTTTTCTTTTAATATTTGTTCAAATTCTGAGTAAGTTTTTAGCTCATGGTAATTTTTAATATAGAGCCAGAGGGCTTTTCCCTTAATGTAACAATAAATATTTTGAAGTTTCCAATTTTCGTCCTTATTTTGGCAGACTTTGTTAAAATAACCTAACCAAGTAATTATGTCACTGTCCTTAGAATCTTCAAATAGAATAATATTTAAATCTTGATTCACATTCAGTGAATGTTCAAGATTAATGGGTTCCTGATTTGTCAACATTGTAACTGAAACTTTAAAATTCTCTTGAGAACAAAAAATGTGCATTTTTCTCAAAATATTTTTACAATAGTTAAAATATATTTTTTTTTAAAAAACAAAAACTCTTCAGAGTATTATCGACACTTCATAGAATAATAGACTTAAATAAAAATTTTGTATTCTCAAATTTTATGATTATCACTACACATTTCAGGATAATATCAAATCTTACTTAGAATACTATTAATTAGAATAAAACTTGAAATTTAAATAAACTCGTAATTACTTTAACATAATATATGTAAAACAAACTATTGTCGTAGCAACTGAGTTCACACACTGAGAAAAAGTAATTTCTAAAAATATGTTCTTACTTGGCTGTTGAGTACACTATTTAATCCTGCTCGTTTGTGTGCTGTTAAAAAAAAAAAAAAAAAAAAAAAAAAAAAAAACACAGCATAAATGATTGAAATTCTTCAGCTTCTTTCCAGCAGACGATATCCAAATCATGCGGTTCTAATTATGAGACGCGCTCAAAATGTGAAGACAAAGCTGTATCACAATTCACAATTCTTCAGTTGTAAAAAACAGACACAACTTGCACTTAAAATGTTCTTTCTCTTCCATTCGAATTTCATTCCTCTTTGGGTATACCCGTCCTGCCGACTCCTTGTGATGTAGCAGCTTTTGTCCGGAATAAATAGATTGGTGAAGAATCATACATGTAGTCGTAGCTTAAATTATCAGACGGTAAGTTTAAAAAACAGGACCCATTTATTATTGGTCAGGAGATATAGCAGTTACAAAACCAGATATCCGGAGTAAATAAAAGAGAATTACTAATAACTTTTTGTATGAGGTTTACTGCATCGTTACATTAAAGAAAAGACCCCGATATTCCTTTGCAAGTCCTTTTTATAGCCTCTGGAAAGGCGGAGCTTCCAAGAAATGACGTCAACCTCGTCAGCCATTCCAGTTTGCTTATAAATATTTTAAATATTTCCAGAACATTCTATAACTGTACATGTAGAAAAGGCGGGAAAAACAACTTGACTACGGGGCTGTGGATTTAATTCCACATACTTTCAAATAAGAGACAGTCGCCATTAAAAAATGAAAAGAACATACAGTTAGAATTTTAAGTGTATTCTTAGCTATGGAATTTTATTATTATATATATATATATAATATATATATATATATGTAGTATTACGATATCCAGAGTTTCATGGAACATATTTTTAAATTTGGAACAATTATCGATATTTTCCCCCTTGTGTTTGGACAAAAATAAATTTACTCTTTGAACATATAAGAAAAGCTTGAGCAGGTGCATGGCCAAGGCATAACTGCTGTAACATACAAAAATGTGCACTTTTTGTTTTTTTAAGTAGTCTAAATTGTTTTCAGTGACTTTAGTTACCTGTTGTTATAATCCATTTGGTACATTTGAATCAGCGTTCAAATGAGAGCAATACAAAAGTTGTTCTTAGTACTTTTTTCAACTATGATTTATCTCAGAGCAGTAGGTAATTGACTTTATTTGTTACCCATTCAAGCAAAAGTTGTCTTAGGTATTTCTGGTCTGGTGTTAACCAATAATTGCTCTAATTTCCACTTCAGTAAGATATTTTGTATTGAACTGATGTACATAATGCAATGGGAGAGATTTTTTAAATTGAGTAACTAAAATTAGGTCATAAATAGTTAAAATTTTTATATTTTTGTGTGGAAAGATTTTAGCATTTCAGTGATCTACTGTGTACATTTCATTGAATTTTTTGTTCCCCAGAAATAAAATTACATCAGTTAATCTTTTTAAAAAATTCTGTGATCTTTAATTTTTTTTCATTGCATTAAATCATCTGTTGCTTTCTTCTGTATATTAAAAGAATAATATATATATATATATATATAAACAAATTTAAATTTAATTTTTAACAAATACGTATAAAAGTAAAAAAAAGCAAATTTAAATCCTAAAAAAGGAAAAAAGCCAAAATAATTTTTTAAAAAAATGTGCAAACATATAAAAGATTTAATACTCAAACTAATCTACAGTATCATTTAAATTCAGAAGCATAAGCAAATCAAGTGCAAAATCAATCCATGAAAATAAATTCACTAATTTAATAAATTAAAATTAAATTAAAAATTTTTTTAAAAAAATGCATATGTGAATGACAGTTGAGTAGGCAGGAGACAGACTTATCAAGGGGAAGTTGCCTCCAAACCTAACTCTCCAATCATTCAATTCGTGTTTCATCATTCATGCAGGCAAGGGTAAAAGTCAAAACCATATATATATATATCACAACGGTCAGATATTTGTCTTCCAACATTAATTTTAACGGTTTTTTTTACGTGTTTACAGTTTTTTTTCCAGTTTTTCCAGATAAATTTTTTAAAATAATTCTACTTAGTTCATATTTTAGTAATACAGCATTGAACTATTTCGTGGAGCTACAGCTCCTGGTAACTTTTTAGCAAGATCGCTGCAATGTTTCTACCTACTATTATTTCGTATCTTTTTGCAGCATTGTGCGCAAACAATTTTTGAGACCAAATAGGTCTTTCGTCTCATTACTAGTTAGCTTTACAATTTCTATTTCAATTATATATATATGTATATATATATATATAAATTTAAACAAATTTAAATTTAAATTATAACAAACACGTATAAAAGTAAAAAAGCAAATTTTTTTTTTTTTTAAATTTTTTTTTCTTTTTTTATAAATGTGCAAACATATAAAAGATTTAATTCTCGAACTAATCTACAATATCATTTAAATTCAGAAGCATAAGCAAAACAAATGCAAAAACAATCCATGAAAATAAATTCACTAATTTAGCAAATTAAAAATAAACTAAACAATTTTTTTAAAATGCATAAGTGAATGACTGTTGAGTAGGCAGGAGACAGACTTATCAAGGGGAAGTTGCCTCCAAACCTAACTCTCCAATCATTCAATTCATGTTTCATCATTCATGCAGGCAAGGGTAAAAGTCAAAACCAAAAGTAAAAAGAAATACCAATAAAGTGGTACCCTTAGAAATTAACATTTAAGAATTAAATTAAATTTAAGAATGAAGTTCTAAAAGGAAAATACAAATGAAGTCTTTTGAGAAACAAGCAAGTAAAGTCAAGGTTAAAATTAAACTTATATATATATATTATTTCTGATCCATATGTCTTTAAAGCAATGATTATTTTTATGTAAAGATGATTTTTTTAAAAATATTTATAATCAGTAGAAATTCCATAATTTTAATTATTGAATGGCTGCTTTAGCAGAGGCAAAACAAGCAAAACTTTAATTAAATATTGGTCTTGTTTTGGTAAAAAAGAAAAAAGGCCTGTATTTCAATTTTATTTAGTTAACTTAGCCATAAATATTTTGACTTAGTTATTTACATTAAATTACATGGCTAGTTTGAGCTGCAGGTTTATGTCAAAAAATATAAAATAGATTTTAGTTAAAGAGTTTTTTAATTTTATCACCTATTTGAAATGTAATTCTTAAAATTAAACATTTTATGAGACACACATGCCACAAAACTGTCTAAATTTGAAAAATTATAATTTATAGGGGGGAGGGAAGAGGAGAAGAATAATTGTAGAATTAGATTTGTCTTAAAATGTATTTGCTTTTCATTATGAAACTTTTGTAAAGTGGTCATTTAAGTTTTCCCAGCTCTGTTAGTTCCAGTAGCATCTTGCTCTCATATTTTTCACCAAGGCATCTCTCATCCTAGGTAAATAACTCTTGAGTGCTTTGCCATAATCAATTAATTTAACCTTACTTTACATTTTTTTAAAAATATTTCATCTCATATTTGCTGTTTTCATAAAAGTTCATCTTTTCATAGGCATTATGCAAAATCATACACTTTGATCCTTTCTTTTGTTATTCTTGATTGCATTATTATATGTATTAGTAATCTGAAAGGCATATACTTACACTTTATAGCATTTATTCTTTATTTATCCTCTCTGGTTAGGTTTACCATAATATTTTTGCCCATAATTTTGTTTACTACCATATTGACAAAATACTCACAACAGAAAATTAACTTGAAATAAACCTGAAAAAGCTACTACTATGATTGAGAAGGCTTAGCAAAAAACTACAATAAGTTAAAATAAATTTTAAGTAATTCATATCTTATTTATTAATATGCAAAATTAATAGTTCAGTGTTAATTTAATAACTATCACTGCAAAATGAATAGTTCACTAGTCATTTTGCAGCTTTGTAGAGCTTTTACCATAGATTCAGCCATTCTTCCTCTTTCATCAAACTATATGTTCCTTATTGATAATTCTCTTTCGACTGGTGCCAAAGTGCCTGATGTGTCGAGAATATATTCTGTCATTTGAATTGGACTGGCTGTGTTTTATTTGAAATGACTGAAATGTTGTATTTATTTTTCTTTCTACTTTCATTTTTCCAGATTCCATAGTTAGCTGAACAAAAACTTTTAAAATCACTAATTAATAAAAAAGCTAATATTTATTGTATAATTTGCCATCGTTTTATTAATTTTTTTCATCATGTCCATGATTTCTAGCAAAGCATGTCACTGCACATTTTTGAAGTATAAGATGTGCTTAAGCAAGACACTACTATTAGTTCTCTCTTTCTCATTGTTTTTGTGGAAAACATACTTGAAAGTTTTTAATTGAATAAGGAAGGTGAGATGCTGGTAAATGAGATGTTGGTTCATTTTGCTTCACCTTTTCCTTTTTTTTTTAAAGTAAAAATGTGTCTTTGATACTTTTGTTTAAAACTAAAGTATTATTTAGGATTTTTGTGTGTATAAGTGAATTATTTCAGTTAAAGGCATTATATTTCTCTTGGCTTCAGAGCTAACTTAGCAAACTTGTTTTTTTTCAGTGGGCACTTTACTTAGCAAACCTGGAATATATACTGTTACATTGAGCAGTAGGAAGATATAATAAAATTAGACTCTTGTTACCAAATTGTTTATGTAAGCAGTATTATATGTTTTGCTGTCAAACACAGTTATGTGTTAGTTATGAACACTAAAGTTTGGACTTTAGTGTTCATAACTAACAATAACAATAGTCAGCAAGAAATTGACCAAAAGTTTTATATTGTGCAGGTATCTCCTGTTTATGTATTTGATTTGGCAGACTGAATGATTATCATCACATATAAAACTTAAATGTTGGAATTTTCTGAAATGTTAATGGCAGTTAAAGAATACAACTACTTTGTTTAATTTGAAATTATGCAAAAATTGTAAAAAATGTATGCTTTTTATAAAAGGTTCTATATTGAAAGTCTTATAATCTGGCATTCAGTGGTTTGTCATATGCTATAATCTGTCACCCCTTTCACCAACTTTCATGTTATAAAATAATGATACTAGCAAGTCATTCAGCAGTATTTAAAATGTTTTGGCAGTTGCTTCATATCTGTTTGCCATTTTCAGTTAGTCTTTTATTTAAAACTTTGTGTTTATATTGTTGTGCATGTATGGGTTTGTAATAGATTGAATGCACACAGGTCCGAGGATAGGTACATACAACACAATTTAAAATTGCATGATATGTAAATGTACTTGAAACTGCACATTTATCTTACCTATTATGATGGCTGCATGAGTGCTTTTGGGTAATTTCCTCATATGTAAAATAAATGAGGAGAATTTTTATTTAGGAAGTCCTCCATGCAAGTATCTTTCCCTTTAAGTAAATATCCTCATATGATTCCCTATTTTGAATTAAACTAACAAACATAGAGAGAAATGTGAAAATTTTGCCTTTGATATGAATATATCAATAGAATTGATAGAAAAGTGAAACAGAAAGATAATTAATCAGATTGCTGAGAATGAATTGATAAAAGAATTCATTTTCAAAAATAAATAAATTGTTCATAATACGAATAAAAGAAACAATAGATATTTTAATTTCACATCTGAATTGGAGAAATGAAAAATTAAAATGAGATAACTTCCATTTTCTAACTGATGAAAAAATAATATCATTAGATTTAAGTGTTTTAAAAGAAACAGCTTAACTTAAAATTTAGCACTTAAATATCCAAACTGTATAAAAGCTATGAAAATTTCATCTGAAATAATATTTAGTTTAAGAAATGAATGCTACTACAGTTGCTCTGCATGTTTAAGCATGATTGATCTTTTGGAGATGATTCAAGAATGCAGTTTAATTCACTCATATCTGAATTTAGAAATTGCATTAAAAATGTTTTTAATGTTGTGAATTTTTCTTGTTAAGGTGAAAGAAGCTTTTAAAACAATTAAATAATAATAAAAAAATTATTGAAAATCTACCTTTAGTCTAAAACATTCTCAAATATGGCTTTTTTTTTTAATAGACCATAAATAAAGTTAACAGGTAAATTTTGTGAAAAAAATCAATCTTGCATTGTTAAATAAAAAAAAAAAAGAGAGAGAGAGAGAGAATGTAAAGGAAATAGTATATATAAAAAAGAAAACGTGAAAGGTTTCAGACTTATATTACATTATTACATCCAAAGGGGCGTTCTTTTAATGTTTTGTGCATTATCTTTATTTATCAAATATCATGTTCTATGCGCTCAAACCATAAAATTCAGTTCAACAGCAATATCTCAAAATAATTTTAAAATGAGCATATTGGTAGAATTTCTAATACAGAATTTCTAATACATTTACTAATACTAATAATCTCACACGCTCGAAATAATTTTTTTTTCATACAGTGCTGGCTTTAAAATCCTTGAGTTTGTTAATAAAAAATTCTTTAAAGTTTTACAAAATATGAAATCGATAATAAAAGAAATTTCAAATTTATGCTTCCAGATAGATGCCAGTATTCACAGTAGGATTATGTCAGTCAAAATTTGATGGCTCTAGGTGCCATTGTTTTATCACAGTGCGAGAAACATACATACATTTATGTGGATTCTTTATTATTTAACTTCTTTAAATATAATATAGGGTAATCATATTTGGTGACAACAGTTTGAAAAGTGAAACAGACATTCGGAGCGATTCGACATGAAAACAATAGTCCCTCATAGACAAAGACCCTTTGGACTAATAAATTAAAAAATAAATAAATAAATAAATAAACTTGAATATTAGTGCAGTATTTATATATTAACTATATTACTACTTATATCATTTTAGTATTATTTGTTTATTAAGGTGGTTTTTACACTGAAAAATTACAAATTACTGCATGACTAATTTTTCTGAAGATATAAATTTATGATTCAAAATATTATAAGAGTTAGGATATTATCATTTAATGTAGTTAACTTTGTTGACTATAAAAATGTGCAGATACACTTAAGGTTATTGTATATATAGGCCTGCATTTATGTCTGCTTTAGGTAAAAAAAAAAAAAAAATCTAGATATGGCTGTCTGTTGTTTTATTTAGGAAATTCATATTCATATATTTTCATTCATTGCATTTGCATTGTTTAATTATATGTGCTTTGCAGTGCATTTGGAAAGATTAGTGTTTTTTGTAAAATGTAATTATTTTTCCATTGTTCGTTTGGCTATTATTTGTCCTCTTTTTTGAGGGTTTAGAACGGTTATTTGCATGCATTTTCTACTTATCTTGAATAAGTATTCTTATTTCAATTGATAAAGTAAAATTTTGTGTTTTAGGGCTGAGAAAGGAATGATGTGCCTTCAGAAAAAAACTGCTCAAAATGAATTAATGCATTTGAAAAATTCCATAGATAATAAAAGTGCCTTTGGTCCTGAAATAGAAAATTGTCTTAGAGAAATAGCCCATTGTGGAGGCTTTAAAAAATCACCAAAAGGACCCATTGGTAAATAATTTCTTTTAATAATATAGTTTTAATTTTATTTATGCAAAGGTAAATTCTAAATTGAAGATTTTACTTTATGAAACAAAAACTCGCATTCATAATCATACCTTCATAAAAGGATTATTCACAAAGTAATAAGGTTAACACATCTTTAAAATAGCTGTACGTAAAAAAGTAGACAGCTGTCTATGTCAGAAAAACCTGTAATTTCAGTCACTTCTTATTAGACATCACATGATAGTAATATCATAGACATTTGTTTTTCAAGCTTTAAAAGTTGTGTATGTATATTCACATAATGATTTGGGAGCATAAGAGGCAGTGAAAATATTTTTATCTCTGTCTTTCATATTTTTGTAATAATATATTTTTCCTAAAAAAGCACTCTAAAATTGAAAATTAGTAGAAAATTAATACTGTGCATAATAGTTGATGGAACTTTAAATTTATGTAATAAGTATTAAAGATCATCACTTAATTTCTTTAAAATTATGCATTAGTAGTTTTTCATAAAAAATGTAGCTTACAAGAATTAGAAAATTTAAGATGACTGACTGCATGAGATAATCTACATTAAAATTGTTTAATTAATTGTATTAATTATTTACTGAAATTCTTTTAGTAAAAATTAAATCTTATTTTGTTTCAATCTATTTGTCATCTTAAAGTGTCATTAATATTTTCTTATACAGGATGCAGTTAATTGTTTGAATCTTCATGATGAAATGTGTCAGGGTAGCTATATAAAATTTCAATAGGGCTATATAAAAGCTATATAAAATTCAATTCAAATCAAAAATTTCAATTTCGATTTATTGAGTTATGACAAAACACACTAGGGATATTTGCCTAAGGAGAGTACTTTCTCGGGAACAGCATCATATCCATGTTATACAATAGGAATACCACAAATTTTCATGCCGCCAGCTGGCTCCCCGGGTCAAACTACCAACATTCAGTGATTTTACTGCTCAGCCAGTGGGGGCTATTTCAGCAGGGGAATAGTAGTGGAATAATAATTATTACATCTTTCATAGGGAAGATTGAAAATTAAAAATTATATTTAGGAAAATTAAATGCAGATTTTTTTAGAAATAATACATAATTACAGTGGCAAACAGTGTAATTATGTATTGCACTAGTTCCAACTTTTCCTCTAATAAGACCAGTGTTTCTGAAAATGTAAATAAACATAGGTATTAAACATTATTTTTCCAAGATGACCATATCCACAAAAGATTAAAAAATTATGTTGAATCAAGAATGGTCATTTTAATGAGGATTATTTTTATTTAACTTTACATTTAGACATTTCTTATAAGTACTGTAAATATATTATTTAATATTTTTGGATATATTGTATTCAAAAAATTTTTATTTATTGCTTGAGTTTTTATAACATAGAGTGAATGGTCATCTTAGGATGATCATCTCTAAAAGTGAGCAGTATAGTTATGAAACTATGGCATTAACTACCACCTTAAGATGACCACCTTCATGTAAGGGTGAATCAGTTAGAACCATAAATGGTCATTTTAGAGAGGGTCTGCTGTATTTAGCTTTCCTATTTAAGTAATTTTTATTTTAGCTAACATATTGATTTTTTTATTTGAAAAATTTACAACTATTTCATGTTGTTTCTTAACACGTATTGAATCATCTTGTAGCGATATCCTCTCAACGAAGTAAAAAATAATCAGAAAGTTGTGAAAGATTGTTCCATATGTTGATAAGTAGATATTTTATCATGGCTGCTGCTAAATTCTGAATGATTATTGCTTAGGAAATGTGGTTTCAAGGAAAACTGGCTCATATCAGTAATTAGAACAGAAATACTGTCCAGTGTCATTTTCTTAACATCATGTTTTTGCTAGGAATTTAAACAGTCATACCAGAAATCAACAGCAAAATTGCATTAATATTTCTGGGTGAGATTTAATTTTGTGGCAGTTCCCCCCCCCCATTGGAAGTACCAAGTTTTAGGCAACTTGTAAATTTTAATTAAAAGTAAAGATTAATAAAATAAAAATTTCTTTAGATTGCATGTGAGAGGATAAGAATAGCATATATTTTACAGTGACTTTCATAACCAGCTGTTGTGAATGAATTTTAAAAAAGTCACATTTATAAAAAAAAAAAAAAAAAAAAAATCACATTATTTTAAACATTGTATAAGCATAAGATTTTGAATGTAAATCATAACTAAAAATTAATATTTGTTTTTGCTTCCTGCATTGATTATCATTTAATTAAAGTGATTAGAGACAATACTTTTTGCTGCCTTGTATGAAGTAAAGGAAGTATTGTAATTGCGAAAAATTTCGGGGGTATCATATTTCATTGGAAATATCTATTTTCACCATTTGCAAATACTTTGGAAGATTTTTTTGTGTGATGTCTGTGCATATGGACAGAATAAATTATTCTTTTGAAAAGGGATTTAAAATGGAGTTTTTATGACATCTGTATGTATGTGTATATATTTCATATAATTCACAGTTATCCATAGAATATTGAAATTTTGTATATGAGTCTGCCATAGCATCTAGTCGCGCACCTCACTTTTTTATTTCAGTCGGTAGTACCAAAAGTATACATACCATATATTCCAGCATATAATGTGTAAAATACAAGTTATATGCTGGATACAAAAAATAAGATCAAAATTTATGGATGTGCATTATACGTCAGATATAAACACGATAAAAAGGAAAAGATGAGAATACAACAATTAGATTTCTAAATGCTGTTTATGTAAAAGAAATGACATACCTTATGAACTTAATAATTTTTATTGTCGAATAACATGAAAAGTTCATCATATTCAGCTTCTATCATATCTTCAGGCACATCATCGAATTCTGTTTCATCTTCACCATCACTGTTACTCTGATCCATAAATAAATAATCATCTTTCTCTAATCCATCACTCTTTTCGTACTGTGATCTAGAAGTAAATAATCATATCTTAAAATGACTGTTGAATTATATTGGGTTTAATTTTATTTCATGCTTTTATTATCCACTCAAACACTGTTTCTAGACTGCAAGACACATTTGGCCTTTTTTGTAATTGTTTTTTCACTTTCAAACATCCACATATTCCACTGTTATTTTAAATTTTCTTTGAATGGTTTATGGATATGCATATATAAAAGCTGAACAAATGGCGTTAATCTGTCTGGAATAACTGCTATGTCTGTATTACACTCTTTCAACAGTTTCATCGTATTATCTGTTAGAGAGCCTTTGAACGTGTTCCAAACTAAAAGATTTTCTAGATTCTTTAAGGCAACTACATTGAATTTTGCCAAACATTTCTTATCCTGAAATTCACATCGCTTTTGTTTGTCCATCCGTTCTTTTGAACAGGAATGAAAACTCCATTTGGAAAAATGCATTTCGGCATTATCTTTCTTTTCAAAATCACCATGGGTTTTAATTTTTACTGTCTACTAAGCAGGAAAACAGTATGGTGATGTGAGACTTTTTGTGACCTGTTATTTTAAATGAACCATTTTTGTTCCTTTCACATCAATTGTTTTATATTGTATCATACCAAATATTACTGGGGATTCATCTGTATTTCCAACATGTGACAGTAATTTTTTTTTTCACCTGCTTTCTTAGGTCAATAACGTATTTCTAGAAGCATCAATTTGCTGACCAAATCTTCCGAAAGCCTTTGTGAAATTTTTGTCATTTCTTATAAACTTAATTATTCCATGCCATAAATCAACTATGCCAATCCAAAGTTACTTGAAAGTTTTCACTTTCATTTGCATTCTTTTTTTGCCCACTTAAATGCAAGTAAATATTCACTGTTTCTTGTTACCATTAATCCATTCTGGCAATTTTCTGGACCCAGTTTGCAACATTTTCTTCTAGGATAGTCCATTTCATTACTCTTATATGCAAAGAACATTTATTCTTTGAAATATTAATTGCTGTGATTTAATTTTTCTTCCACTCACATATGGAGCTTTCACCAACACCAGGCAGCCTTGTTGCATTACGATTTGCATTTTCTTTCGCAAATTGAATGACTTTGCATTTGAAACCATCACTGTGTTTGTTACCTTTGGCAGGAGCTATATTTACTACTAAAATGTATTTCAACTAAAAATGTAGTGACTTTGATGCTCACTTCAAAATCACACTTTCAAATGAAACACAGAAGATTGAAACTACAGAAAAAGAAAACACATGACTTATAATTCTGTGAATTCATTTGGGTCAAAAGTAAATTCTTCACCCAAATTATGTCCTCCTTTTCTCGAAATGCTAGAATAACATTCTTATAGGCACCTACATTAAATACAACTCACTCTCTTTGCAGAATTATTTAATCCCTGAGGGAATCCCCCCCCACATATTGTTCCCCTTGTCAATTCAGCATATCATTGTTCAAAAGCCATAGAAAAATCTTCAAATCAATGATTCCAAAAGGTAAGAGCATCACACATGAATCTTTCAGGTTTTTTCATAAAGAAAAGAGTGTGTTTTATATGGTGAAGACACTTAAAAATTGAAAAATATAGTTTGGAATTTTAGGCACGTGTTATACAGTGATGCTTATTGTGTGGCGGAATGTAAAGTGCATATACAGAGGGTGTTCACACATTTTTCTTATGATTTTGCAAGCTTTTATATATGAACAAACCTTAGAATTTTATTTTTTGATATGTTCAAGCTGATAGTCCTTTTGTTGAATTATCATACTACATCTTGATTCCCAAGTAAAAGTCCTTTTTCTTGAAACATAAGGTTTATTTTATTCCACTCCTCCTTCACAATCTTCCTGAGTCCATCCAATATTTTGGGATGCCACTTGTAAAGAGCTTGTTTTAAAAGTCCAAAAACACAGTAATCCACAGGAGCATCAGGGGACTTCAGTGGGATGCATTTAAAGGAAATAGTTCCAGTTTCATTTCTCATTTTTTCAAAAAATAGAGCAGTAGGTTTAGAGGTATGGTTTGGAGCCTTATTCTAGTTTAACC